GTATAAGAGCGAGAGAGATAGAAAATCGCGCAGCTAGGAAGCGTGTAAGTGCGAGAGAGATAGAAAATCGCCCGGGTAGGAAGCGTTTAAGTGCGAGAGAGACGGAAAATAGCCTGGCGGCTCGCTAAAGTGTGCGAGAGAGATAGAAAATCGCCCAGGTAGCAAGCGTTTAAGTGCGAGAGAGATAGAAAACCGCCTTGCACGACGCGATTGTGTGCGAGAGAGACACAAAATAGCCAGGCAGCTCGCTAAAGTGTGCGAGAGAGACAGAAAATCGCCGAGGTAGGAAGCGTATAAGTGCGAGAGAGACAGAAAATAGCCAGGCGGCTCGCTAAAGTGTGCGAGAGAGAAAGAAAATCGCCGAGGTAGGAAGCGTATAAGTGCGAGAGAGACAGCAAATAGCCAGGCGGGACTTGGGTGGTTTTTCCGTCAAAGCAGCATCGCGTTCCCCCGCGACCCTCCGAGAGTGGTTGCACCCTCGGTTGCCCCGTTCAAGGGCACCCAGTGAGAGAGACAGAAAATCGCCCTGGTAGGAAGCGTATAAGTGCGACAGAGACAGAAAATCGCGCAGGTAGGATGCGTATAAGTGCGAGAGAGACAGATAAAGGCCAGGCGGCTCGCTAAAGTGTGCGAGAGAGCCAGAAAATCGCCCCGGTCGGAGGCGTATGAGTGCGAGAGAGACAGCAAATAGCCAGGCGGGACTTAGGTGGTTTTTCCATCAAAGCAGCATCGCGTTCCCCCTCGACCCTCCGAGAGTGGTTGCACCCTCGGTTGCCCCGTTCAAGGGCACCCAGTGCAAGAGAGACAGAAAATCGCCCAGGTAGCAAGCGTATAAGTGCGAGAGAGATAGAAAATCGCCTTGCACGACGCGATTGTGAGCAAGAGAGACAGAAAATAGCGAAGCAGCTCGCTAAAGTGTGCGAGAGAGACAGAAAATCGCCCTGGTAGGAAGCGTATAAGTGCGAGAGAGACAGAAAGAAGCCACGCGCCTGGCTAAAGTGTGCGAGAGAGACAGAAAATCGCCGAGGTAGGAGGCGTATAAGTGCGAGAGAGACAGAAAGAAGCCACGCGCCTCGCTAAAGTGTGCGAGAGAGACAGAAAATCGCCCAGGTAGGAAGCGTATAAGTGCGAGAGAGACAGCAAATAGCCAGGTGGGGGTTGGGTGGTTTTTCCGTCAAAGCAGCATCGCGTTCCCCCGCGACCCTCCGAGAGTTTTTGCACCCTCGGTTGCTCCGTTCAAGGGCACCCAGTGCGAGAGAGACAGAAAATCGCCCAGGTAGGAAGCGTATAAGTGCGAGAGAGACAGAAAATCACCCAGTTAGCAGGCGTATAAGTGCGAGAGAGACAGAAAATCCCCCAGGTAGGAAGCGTATAAGTGCGAGAGAGACAGCAAATAGCCAGGCGGGACTTGGGTGGTTTTTCCGTCAAAGCAGCATCGCGTTCCCCCGCGACCCTCCGAGAGTGGTTGCACCCTCGGTTGCCCCGTTCAAGGGCACCCAGTGCGAGAGAGACAGAAAATCGCCCTGGTAGGAAGCGTATAAGTGCGAGAGAGACAGAAAAAAGCCAGGCGCCTCACTAAAGTGTGCGAGAGAGACAGAAAATCGCCCGGGTCGGAGGCGTATAAGTGCGTGAGAGACAGCAAATAGCCAGGCGGGACTTAGGTGGTTTTTCCATCAAAGCAGCATGGCGTTCCCCCGCGACCCTCCGAGAGTGGTTGCACCCTCGGTTGCTCCGTTCAAGGGCACCCAGTGCGAGAGAGACAGAAAATCGCCCAGGTAGCAAGCGTATAAGTGCGAGAGAGATAGAAAATCGCCTTGCACGACGCGATTGTGAGCGAGAGTGACAGAAAATAGCGAAGCAGCTCGCTAAAGTGTGCGAGAGAGACAGAAAATCGCCAAGGTAGGAAGCGTATAAGTGCGAAAGAGACAGAAAATAGCCAGGCGGCTCGCTACAGTGTGCAAGAGAGACAGAAAATAGCCCAGGTAGGAAGCTTATAAGTGCGAGGGAGACAGCAAATAGCCAGGCGGGACTTGGGTGGTTTCCGCAAAGCAGCAGCGCGTTCCCCCGCGACCCTCCGAGAGTGGTTGCACCCTGGGTTGGCCCGTTCAAGGGCACGTGCGGGGGTGTGCGAGAGAGACAGAAAAAAACCAGGCGGCTCGCGCATAAGTGCGAGAGAGAATGAAAGCCGCCCGGTTGGACTTGCGTTGTTTTTACGGCAAAGGCGCATCGTGTTCCCCCGCGACCCTCTAAGAGCGGTCGCCCTTGGCGGGACGCTTCAGTGTGCGAGAGAGACAGAAAATCGGCTGGCGGGACGCTTGGGTGTGCGAAAGAGACACATAACAGCCAGGCGAACACACATTCAAGAGTCAGTAAATCGCATTTAAATGTGAATAGGGATGCCCACCAGTTAAGGGATACCTGTAGTTTTATTTCCTTCCTTTAAATACCGATCTTAAAGATAGGAGTGAAGGAAAAAACTACTACAACCAAGAATACACTATATACACTTCTCAAGTTAGTATTCTTCCCATACAACAAGAGTCTTTTGGTGAAAAATCTGGGCCCCCAATCAATTGCTTTTTTAATGCAATGGCCGGTTAATGAGATTTTCCTAGCGCTTTTTTCAGTTAAGCGAGCCTCTCTTGAGTAAAATTGTTGGGAGGAGGGTTGTGGAAACCGAACATACCATCACTTTTATTCCCCAGATGCATTTCACATGCAGTTAGAACCATTCAGTAAAAATGTGAGCAATCTTTGAGTTGCTACTCCAAAGTTGGGGCCAATAATTGGCGTAATTTCGGTGTTTTTCAGTTTTGCGCGCCTTTTTTGGGCAAAAACTCGAAGTAAAAGATATTTAAACCCAAAATACCATTGATTTTATTTTTCAAACATATTGTAGACACATTAAGGACCATTCAGGCAAAAACTGAGCGATTTATGAGTTGCTACTCCAAAGTTAGGCCCGACAATTAGCGTAATTTCAGTGTTTTTCAGTTTTGCGGGCCTTTTTTGGGCAAAAACTCGAAGTAAAAGATATTTAAACCCAAAATACCATTGATTGTATTTTTCAAACATATTGTACACACAGTAAGGACCATTCAGGCAAAAAATGAGCGATTTTTGAGTTGACTTTTCAGGGTAATGGTCGATTATCGGAATCATTTTGGTGTTATTTTCAGTTTTTTACGCCTTTTTTGGACAAAAGTGAAAAAAAAAGATACTAAAGCCCAAAACACCATCAGAATTGTTCTTTAGGCGTCTTTCTAATACTCTTAGGAGCATTTTAAAAAAAATTGGAGCAAAAAATAACTTGCAGCTCAAAAGTTATGGGCATTTGAAGAGGGGAAGGTTTTGTCGCCAAAATCAGACAAAATCACAACAAACAATCAACCGCAGAACATCAATGAGTGAAGTCGAACATTTCATGCATTTTTTTCTCAAATCTACATACTTTCATTGACATTGTGTCAAATTTTCACTTCAATCCGACGAAAAATGGGCCCGGTGTGAATTTTATTGGGAAAAATGACCCTCTCTTTCTCGGAAGTTCGAAACGTCACTTTCTTGAAAATTCTTAAAAGTTCAAAAATTCATATCTCAGTGAGTTTTTCGATTTGAGACCTAATATTTTGCAGAAGTTCATTATTTGGTGGTCTGATCAAGAAAAAAATTTATCATCAAAATCCGAGTCGGGCGGTTGCATGGCTGGTAGGTTCTATATGAAATGACCCTGATATTCAATTCCTGTCTCTACAATTATGTCGCATTTGAACTTGTTAGTAAACACTAATTTTTTCTTGTTCCTTTCCCTCTCCCTCTCCCCCTTCTTCTTCCCTCTTTCAACACAAAGGGCAAGTAAATTGGGAAGTTAGTGATATCCCCTATAAATTTTGTATTTTTGCAACATGCTTGAAATAGGCTGCAAAATAATTCACTTTGACTCACTTGGAACTCATTTTTGCAAGGACAGATTGCGTGAATGGACCACTATTGTTTTGACAGGCTTGGGATTAGAGACATTGTACCTTTGTGTTCTGGTTCTCTTGCAACAGTTAGAGTTACAGGAAAACACTGTACATCCGCCTATATTCCTAATGAAATGAAATTCCATTAAAAATGATAACACCAGTCAATTCATTGGTCTGGGATGCACAAATAGTTGGAGCATGTTGTGAAAATAAAAAATGTTAAAGGGATGCCACTGATTTTACAATAAACTGGCATGTTCCATGGAAAAAGGGGGACAGCGAGGGAAAAACAGAGGAATATAAAAAAAAAACTCACATCAAAATTCAAGAGCAATAGATAAGTTGAGGTGGGCACCTAGCACTCCATCCACCAGTAACAGAGGATCTAATTGGCATCAAGGCATTATCAGCACATGGCGTGTCACACAGTAGATTTTGTACCAAACATTCGATTTTTGAGGGGCTCATTAGGATTTCCTAGATGTTTAGTGGCAAAAAGGCATCCTGATCTCTCCTTGTTGGCTCAGCAAAAAAATGTTTGACAAAGGATTGCCGCTCTTTGTTTAAATGCTATTAATAATACCGGGTATTACTCAGTTGATGTTAGCTCAATAAAAATAATTTTTGACTCAAAATATTTCGAGGAGTAATCTCTGCTAGGGTTAACATTACTGATTTCACTATGTACATATTATTTGATCAATCTTAGCTTGGAGAGAATTTCTAAGACAATACTGCCAAGCTAAGGAAAAAGGATGTACAAACATTTGAGAATTGCCAAAATTCCTCCAGTAAAATGTTTATTTTTATGAAGCGTTCTTACTTATTTAAATCTGATTGCAAATAAAATGATCTGAAAAATTGGAGGAAAAATATTCACATATTTCTCTGAAAATTAGTATCTTATCGAAGGAAATTTGGCAATGCCTGAAGGTTCATACGGCGTTTTTCTTCAGCATGACAGAGTGCTTGACATTAAATCTCATATTTGACATACTAGGTTTAGAAAAGATAAAAGGGGCAAAAAGTCACCTGGCACAATGAGTCTGAAAATAGATGCTGGTAGGATTGCAAGATTTGCCTTCACCAATAGTAAAATAGTCCACAAGGTCAGTTTGAAGTTTTAAAATCTCATCCTCCGAGAGACTTTGTGGATCCACCTGAACTATCAGCATCAACTGATTCATGGCAAAACTCTTCCGCACTGTAAGCATGCGCCAATGGCCAGAATGATGTTCTGGATCATATATATCCAATGATGAATTTTGAACATATTTTTCAAAAAGCTGTTGGGTATAAAAACAAAAAGTTATAACTCATTTGAAAATAGATTATTGTCAATGGGAAAAATCTCATCTATCTTTAAATTAATAATGCAGTACAAGAGAGGGACCGAAAAATTAATTGGCTGACTTTTGGAGTGGAATAATAGATCCACTGTTTTGGTGCTTGCATTTAATTTTTGCATGGGTCCTTAGGACTAACTCACCTGAAAAAGTCAGGTATTTTCCTTGTGCTGTCAACAGAATATAGGCATGTTACCCATTTTTTACCAATCTAAACTAAGGAGGGGTATCGATGAGGGCCTTTTTTGGCCCCCTCCTAGAATCTGGAAATTTATGCGGGTTTTCCAAGTTGACTCAATGTAGTTCACGGAAATAATCATGATTCAGCCCCTAGGCCACTGGATACGTGTTAAACGGTTGCCTAAACATAGGTCTGCAAGCGCATTTTAGCGAAAATTCGTGTTTTTCTATCACTCCGAGACTTTTTTGACACCGAGCACAACGTCTAACTAAAACGAGCTTTTGATATGTTATTAAGGAGGTTTTCGGACATATTCTAACCATGGTTTGGTTTTAGTTAGATGATGCGCTCATAGTAAAAGAAACTTTTTTCAAAAGCCGATGTTTAAGGGACATCCGTTAAAATCATAGGGAACGCGTCTCTCCAAATGTATGCACGCTCCGTAATATTATCGAGGGCAGTTATCAAGCCTTATTAAACCCTGAAAAGGAGATTTTCTTTAATTGTGGTAAAAAAAATCCTAACGACGTAACTCCCTAAGATTTTTGCGGATATAAATGTCGATTTTTGAAAAAGTTTTCTTTTACTATGAGCGCATCATCTAACTAAAACCAAACCAGGGTTAAAATGTGTCGCAAAGTCTCCTTGATAACATATCAAAAGCTCGTTTTAACCAGACAGACGTTGTGCTTGGTGTCCAAAAAGCCTCGGAGTGATAGAAAAACACAAATTTTCGCTAAAATACGCCTGCAGACCTATGTTTAGGCAACTCTTTAACACGTATCCAGTGGCCTAGGGGCTAAATCATGATTATTTCCGTGAACAACATTGAGTCAACTTGGAAAACCCGCATATATTTCCAGATTTCAGTTGCTGTTATGCGTTTAGTGAAAACATGCCTCCACTACTCCAAAATCCGTTATCCTTACAGCTGTTCGTAAGGAAAATTCAATTTTTTTTTGGACATTATTGAAGGATATCTCCTTTTAAGAGTCTTACAAGGCTTGATAACTACCCTCGATAATATACGTAGTGTGCATATAGTTCGAGAGATGTGTTTCCCTAAGATTTTTGCGGATGCCCCTTAAACGTCGATTTTTGTAAAACGTTTTTTTAAACTATGAGCGCATCATCTAACTAAAACCAAACTATGGTTAAAATATGTCCGAAAACCTCCTTAATAACATATCAAAAGCTCGTTTTATTTAGACGATGTGCTCGGTGTCAAAAAAGCCTCGGAGTGATAGAAAAACACGAATTTTCACTAAAATATGCTTGCAGACCTATGTTTAGGCAACCGTTTAACACGTATCCACTGGCCTAGGGGCTAAGTCATGATTATTTCCGTGAACTACATTGAGTCAACTTGGAAAACCCGCATAAATTTCCAGATTCTAGGTGGGGGCCAAAAAAGGCCCTTATCGATACCCCTCCTTTGATGGAATTGCAAACTGTTTGTAGGGAAATCTAATTTCGATTTCATAAACAAATCTATAAAAAAGGTGATAAAAATTGCGAACTCACTTATGCTGTAGAAATTTAGTTGGGACGTCGCTGCCGGCTGATGATGGGGCCATCTCGACCTCGAAATGCGTCCCAACTAAATTACTATAGCACAAGTGAGTTCGCTATTTTTATCACCTTTTTTATAAAATTGTCTTGTGACTGTCCTCTACAAAAGTTTCTATAAACAAATCTGTTTAATCTAAATGAAATCATTTACCTACTTGGTAATGAATTTAGGTCCCACAATTTGTTCGACAAAACAAATCATGTAAAGGCAATAAAAACAGCAGGAATCAGAATAATTACCCAAACAGCTTGTTTTATTTCCTCAGGAACATTCACCAAATCAGGAGGAATTGGTGCCACTAATTTAGTTCCTTGAGCGTAGGTTCCTAAACGAAAACCAACTGTTTTTCGTTTATTTTCATCGAGACCTGGGACAAAAAACAGAATGATACAAAATTAAAAGCTATTTAACATTTTTTCAATTCTTTTGCTATGAGAACCTATGAGATTAGTGCTTATCATTTGTCACTAATTCATAAGGCCGGTGAATTTCATCTGAATGTATTAGATCTTTCCGATGAAACAGTTTCTTTTTTGTAAAATTGCTACGACTGTCTTATGGAAGGCTTCTCTTGCTTTAACGAGAAACTAATTCATGTCAATTTTTCTATAGGTACCTCAAAGAGAAGCTTTTAAAGTCTTTAGATAACATTCATTCTGATATTGGGGGTCTTAAAATATGAAAGCCTGCCCATCGCTTTACATACAAAAACAGTGACTCATAAATTGCAAAAGGATGCACATAAATTTCTGTGCAGATATCATTGAACAATTTAGAAACAGTCTTAAAAAAAGGTTTACCTATTGTAAATTCACACTTGTTACGATATCCTTCCAGACGATCATGAGCAGTTCGAACACCCAAAAATTCACAAGGCATACCATTGAACTTTTCCTTTTGTTCCTTCAAATGATCAGTTAGATCTTTGTTTGCAAAGGATAGCTGAGTGCTGATGTTCCGTAAGATTTCTCTTGCTTTGTCTTCTTTAGATTGTACCTGTTAAAATATATTGGGAATGAAGAACTAAGTATGACGATAAAACCCAGTGTCTATAAACAGAGCACTGATCAAAAATTGGTTATATCCATGAAAAAAATAAAAACATGTTAACTAAAATTTGAATTAATTAGGAGACCTTTTAGATGCAGTTCAAAGCAATCGTGTCGGCAGACAAAATCACATTGATTCAAATGGGATGAAACAGGCTGATCTACAAAAATGCTTTCTGTACCAATAACACGGGTCTAACAAGATTGGAGTGTGTTTTGAAGAGGCATGTAAGCGCCATTTGTGAATAGAAAAATCACAATGTTGACTTGAAAGTGGGGGTGGGGATCATGGTTAGCATCAGGTGGTCACAAAAGGCAAAGTGATCGCATTTTGGCGCTCTTCTTATCAAACACAAAAAAGGTTTTCCACAGTTGAGGGAGTAACATGTATCCCAACCTAGTTTTTTCAGTTTGTAGGAACAACAATAGGTGTCCAAAAAGGTGCGTTTCATTGGCTTACCATCGCAATCTTGTCAAGCAAATTTGATGAAACATTTGATGCTTTATAGGGAAGGAGTTCACATACCCCGTCGGAAATTTTTATGAGGGAAAGAGAGAAAAAAGAACTGAATACCAAAGTTTATGTTGATGACTTAGAGTTATTGGAATCTCTTCGTTTTCCAATACCCTGGCTTCCAAAATTTCCAAATTCCCTGCCTTTTTGCTGACTTTCTTTGACCTTTGGACAAAACTTCCACTTCGATTTTCTCATTTGATTATAACTTAAGCTAAACTTCTGACACATTTTTCACTTGTAGAGATTTAAATTACATAAAAAGGCACACGGAAGTTATTCGTTTTCTGGAATGGCATCTGCTGAAGTGGCTGAGTGGATGTGCCACTTGTAAAATTCCTTGACTTTCCCCAAGAATAGAGCTCTTGTCAGTATGAGGGATTTGTAATCAATGCGCAATTTCTCAAATAAAATTTTGCAAGAAACACAATGGTGCCACTGGTTTTTTCTGCAACGGACTCCAAACCTTCAAGAAAAGGTGGCAATGGAGGGGATATTCACGCTTTGCTGAGAGTCCTCCTCTTATCCAGTCAAACTCTCCATGTACAGATAGGGAGTAAATACATTATCAGGGTTGCCACATTATTTGAGGACACCAATGCAGGAACCACAGCAAACCTGCTAGTGTATTTGCTCCTCATTTGAGCATGGCGAGTTTGACTAGATACATATAGAGGCGGACTCTCAGAGTAGCAAGGGGGATCTCCTCCAAAATAGCCTCGACTTTGGAAGCTTCTTTTGAGCTGAAGAGTCCGTTTCAGAGAAAACTAGTGACACCATTGTGTTTCTTGCAAAATTTAATACAAGAAAAGGTATTTAAATCGGAAATTCCTCACACATGCAAGAGCTCCACCAGAATGTCTACTATAACAGGCTGACCAAAAATCAGTTCTTTTACAGTACATTCCCAAGAAATTCAGTACCTCCTGAACAGAAAAATTCGGGACTTTTTTAGTACCTCAAATAGACAAAATTTGATAAATATCAAAAATTTGAAGTTCTCGCTCAAAATGCTACAAAAATTACAAAAAATGGAAAAATTCTGGACCATCTTACAGAATTTCTGCACTTTCCAGTACTTCCGGACCGCTCTTAAAAAATCAGTACTATTTCCGGACTTGTATATATCCTGTCCACTCCCTGACTTTTCCAGGATAGCACAGAGTGCTGAATTAAAGTGTATGGACTTACTTGTTTCTCATAAGGTAAATTACATAAGGGGACCACACTGTGCTTTAGCGCTTCATCCTGGGATTCAAAGGCAAGTTTTGGCTTTTTAGGATTAGCCTCTTGGTCTTCTTCTAGTCTCCTCTTTACAAGAGGGTCTGGACATGCATCTGCCAGCTGTCAAGAAAACCACGTTTTAAAAGAAAGAGGAAAATATAGGTATTAATTTTCTACTCACATAAATTTCTTTTGATGAGTTTCTTCTCTAAAAAGTATTTTAACGGATGTGAGACCAAACTTACAGAAAGATCCTTTGGATTCCCATCTTTTGAAAAAATTTCAAGCTTCTTAAAGGGATTTTTCCACCATCTCAAGCAATCTAAAGATTTGTAAGCAATCTAACAGAACTGACGCATGAATCAGGAAAGAAAGTTTTTTTGTTTCCTTGAACAAGCATTTTAAACAGCAAAACCAAAAGTAGTCATTATCACAGCACTAGATTTTAGAAGTGAGACTTCCAAAAAGGCACATCATTTCTTTAAAATATATGGAAGATTTGAACTTGGCTATTTTGCCCAGCTGCTTAGATTGTTATCTATTTGGTAAAATTACTGAAGAAATTTGATTTGTCATCAAACATTGAAACATACTGTTAAATTCTGGCATACAGGAATCATATACGTTAAATTTAAAATGCTTTTTTTGTACCTGTGCAGACAGGGTTTTCTTCTTCCACTCAAAGTTATTGAGAACCTCCAATGCTTTCTGCCTGTCCTCATCTGATCTAAAACAAACATACATCCACGGGGAACCCATGTTTCGTCTGTTATTTTTTGGTGGTTTAAGCTTACTTGGGTTTAATTTCAGTTTATGCGACATCAGTTTCTTGAATTCCTGAAAAGAGAAAGGAAGTTATAAATGTAACAAGGGTAGGTATGTCATCATCTGAGATCTTTGCTTTTTCATCACTTTTTTTACTCATTCATTACTTCCTAGTACTTTCTCTTTTTAACAGTTTTTTGAAATCTTTACCTTTTCAGGTATTGTCTTTTCCTCTTCTATCTTTAAGGTAGGTACCTCAAATGCATTATGAACGCAGACACAGGCTGATTCTCTTGTGTAAGAGAATTCAAATTGGGAGAGAGAAATGTGGGAATTCTGGAGGAATGAACTGCACCATGTAGAATCTAACTACGAATTAGCAGAAACTTGTTGAAGTAACTTTTGTAAACGAATTGAGCACCTCCAGAGCTTTTTCTGTAAATTCATTCCAAAAATCCTCACTTTCAGAAAGTACCTTAACATTAAAAATCCAAACATTTTCTGTACTTCTGTGCTTACTGATCTTTCAAAATCAGTGTATTCTCCATGGAAGATTAAGTACATCCTGTTAGAGGTGTTCACTGCCCATGCAGAATCTGAACTTAGACTTCCCTGGGTATTCTAGGAAAATTCAAGAACCTTTGTTAATGTCTGTAGCTCTCAATGGATAACAGTGAAAGTTTGCAGGCTCCGTTTACACGCCTGAAAATTTCCATGGAAGGAGGAATGAGTTCCAAAGGAATTCTACAGTTTTCAAGCCCAACCAAATCATGCTCCCTACAAACAATGCTTACATGGAACTTTTTTGGGAGGCAAGATGTCTAGAAGTTCAGATCTTCCTGTATAAGCTACGGAAGAGGGAGAATAAGATTAAAATGTACTGTAAGCCATGTGGAGACTTACATTAATACCGTAGTATTTTGGCAGGTTCCTGATCATGAGTTTGAACTTTTCAGCTGTAAAATTATCCCGCTCCAGGTATGCAAAGGGATTGCGTTCTTCTGACACTTCATTGGGTTGTGATGAGGCTTTCACATTTGTTCTTTCCTCATCGCACATGTTATTTTTCACATCGGCTTCATGGGTGTTAAGGACCTTAGACTCATCGACACATGCCTCATGCTTGACTTGAGTATCAGAGGCAATTCCATCAGATATGATTTCTTGATGATTTGGAGGTTCTTCAGCAGAACCAGGATCATCATGGAGTTCGGGTAAAATTTCAGCCATGAAGGCGACTTCGACAAAAGAAAAGAAAAGTAAATAAAATACCGTTGCGTGCAAAGAATGAAGGAAGTAAACCAAGTTGGATTGAACCACAGAATAATTTAATTCTATGATTGAACACAAGACACTACCGATCTACCGACACAGACACATGCCTCGGCTTTTCACGTGATAAAAAATCAGGATAGTCACATAACCTCATTCTTAATGTAAACAAAGTGCAAGAGGGAAAGCAGGAGGAACGAGTTTTGTTGTGAGCGTTTGAAGTTTTTATTTTATTTCATTATCAGTCACCATTCTTTTTAAGTTTCCTTCTTTTGTTGTTCCAATTACCTAAAATCAATGGTCAGTGAAGCCTAGCTGAGGTATCAATGTTTTTATTTTAATATTTTTACATAAATGACTTTCTGACTAGAGTTATGGATTCTGATAGTGACAATGATCTTTTCGTTAAAAAACCCCCTAAGAAGACTGTCAGGAAGTCTAAAAGTGTGCAGGGGCAGAGAGAAAATTCGCAAAGGAAGAAAGAAAATTCTCAGAAGAAGAAGCAGCGTTTAAACGAAACTAAGGTTCCCAAAGGGGAAGATGTAAACATAAGAGCGCCTTCGAAATCCCCTGAAAGACGTGAACAGGAACTTGAAGATACAATCGCAAGCATTTACTGTCCAACTTGTCAAGCTCCACTTCATTATTTGAAAATCTCTCCTGATATTCATGCTGCCTCCTGTGCGGTTGATTGGAGCGATCTTCCAGGTGAGATGTCCGTCGTCTTTGCTATGAGTCTTTCCTTATTTCCTTTGCATTGAAAAACTCGTCACAGGCAGGTGCATTTTCTATTGTTCAGAGTATGTAGTTACATAGATTTAGAGGAAACTCAGAGTTTTACTGCTCACAACAGTCATAGACCAGTGAAAACTTAACGGAAGCTCATCTCCTTTGATGAAGTCAGGCAAACGAGCCCATGAGGTGGGAAAATAATCAAATGAAGTAACTACATGACAGACCAGATAGGTTAATTCCGCAACATCTGGTGCTAAAAACACGAACAATTCACCCTTTGAAAGGAAGAGAAAGTCAGAGAATGTTAAATTGTGAATTTGAGAAGAACAGATAAAACTTAGGGGGCTGTTGACAGTCTTTGAAATAATGCATTTCAAATTTTCATCACACATACGAGACAAGGTATGAATGTAAGCACTCTGAAAAATATTTTCTTTTCAAAATTCCATCTTAAACACATTTGAGCAAAGAAAATTACTGATATCAACTCTTAAGCAAGACATGAAACTTTTTACATACCTAGCAATGATCACGAAAAATTTGAATTCCCGGCTCAGAAGGAAAACCTTATTCTACCGGAATCCAAAGTGTGCACTACGGTATTTTGGCAGGCTTTTTAATGAAACAATGTTTCTTCCTTGCCCCGAGTTGTTTAAAGTGTAAAGAATGTACAAAAGCTGAACGGAAGCTTCGAGATCGAAGTTGCGTAGAATGTAATGATAACATTTAGCATGCAGTACAACTTAAGCAGAGTATAGTTCTTTTAAGGTAGACTGCGCCAATCTCTATCAAAGTTTGTGAGATCAAGGTCAGGTCTTCGTGTACACCTGCCACCTGTTATGTCGCCGAATCCCTTTTGTAGAACTTGCTAAAGTTCTTGCCAAAGCATCTTTTTTACTTTAAAATGAGAGTAATTATCTCATGACCTCCTTCAAAACCCTCAGAATCTTCTTGCTAATATAATAGCTTGCTGTTTCAGAATGTCCAGTAGGCGCAAGCTGTGCTGATGATAGCATTTTTCATTTCCGTGACTTTGCTCATGCAGCTCTCGCAGAATATCGTAGTACAAAGAATTTTGTTTCTCCACGTGTCAAGCGTCTAATTCGAAGTAAATCTAAATCTAAGAAAACACCAGCTAGCACCAGAAAAATATCTCTAAATTCTCAGGTAAATTCAGGGGTAGACCATGAAGCCAAAGAAAAAGTAAAAAGAAAGTTAGACTTGGGTGATGCAGATATCAGCAGTAGCAACCCGAACCTCGCTTCAAACTCTTATTATTCATTTGTAGAATCCGAGAAAAATTCCACTCTTAAATCTTACAGCACATATTTCAGTCAGGAAGATGATGATGAAGAAGCTCAAGTTGAGACTCCCTGCTTCATAGACCAGATGGAAGCAACAAAACCATGTTCCTCAGTCTCACAGAGTACTCGCCAAAAGAGAAAAAATCCAGTCAATGAAAGTTGTAGCAAAGCTGCAGAAGAGCCCATTCTTAGAAAAGCTAACAGTACAAACAGTTGTAGGAAGAGTTTGGATCAAGAAATCAATGAATTGAGCAAGAGTGGTCCCAAATCTAAAAAGAGAAAATCCTCGCATACCAACACCTCCTCAGTTGACTGTGACCATGCTGATAATCTTGAGTCGAATATTTCTCAATCCACAGCTATCTTAAACACTAAGATAAAATCTCTTGCAGATAGTGCTCGTTTATCTAATTCAAATGATGATGTGAAAAAATCAAGTACAGAGACTGGATCTGACAGTGATAATTCCTTCCGCAAAATTCCTGGAACTTTAACGGATTCTCAGATCAAAGATTTCTCATTGGGCTCAACAACATACTCTCAACCTTGCTCAACACCATCATTGTCTGAAGCTCCTGATTATCTTTTACATGCTGTTCATTCGGTCAAAGTTAAAAAAGAGATAAAAGAAGAGCCCATTGACCCTGAGGAGTTGTTTGTTGGCTCCCAAGAGCATCTTTCTAAAGTGCAAAATTTATGTTCTAATGCTGTTAAAGAAGAAACCATCTCAGAATCTTATCATTCAAACACAGTACCTGGTAATTCTTACCAAACTTTAAATAAAAACAGTGATACTCCTGAAAATTTAGAGATTCTTCAGTCCACTTCTAGTTTCAAAATATCGTCCAAGCAGCAAATAAAGTCTGAAAATTTGAAGGAGGATCCGCTGACTGTGGATAGTGATGAAGGAATCCCGGTGTTATTTTCGGATGAAGAGTTCGAACGGTGTTTTGAGAAGTATGATCATGATCCATCCAAGAAAACAGAAGACAACTTCAGCGTTGATGAGTCATCAAATGATTCTTCTGTATCAAGAGCCGGTTCTTTTTCAAAGAAACAAGGTAAGGAATCAGTTGATGTCATTTTAGTTGACTCAAAATTTTAATGGAGTCTTTGGAAGTTATTTATTCTTGTTAAATAAAAAAAAAAAACAACTGAAGACGATGAAATTATTTTCCATCTTTTTTTGCAGAAAGATCCATCTGTTTCATGTTTGAAATTTTTAAAAGCTTATGAAGGTAAGTATTTTTTCAAACTCCCAGCAACTTTCATGGCTCACAATGCTATAATTTTTGAGAACTTAAATCTCCAATTAAAAGAGATGTTCAATGTGTCTCTAAGTAAGATTGAATGAAACAATTGGAAAATGAAGAAACTCAAACTCTCAAAGTGAATTCTTTCTCATTCATCCTCCTCAAAGTCTCTTACTTTGCTTTTACCATTTTTTTGGGTTTTGTATACATTGAAATAATTTTAGGTATTCTAGGAGTGCTGCAAGCATGCTGTAAAATTAAAATTCTCAGTGGCTAAATAGTTAATTATTAGATGTCATCACTAAAAGAATGAAAATGACCATTGGTGTTTTCAGTAACTTATTTTGTTGTTCCCTATTCAATTGCCTAATTCTAGCTACCCAATCTGATTTTTATTCCAACTTATTTCTGTGCAGATTTTACTTATGATCCCTGGAATGCTGTAATTATTAGGTTACCATTTCCAATCATTTCCTCTAATAGTGCCAGCTATTGCTGTATTTGCTTATCTTTGGTGATTGCCCTAAGGCTGAGATCTTTCCGTAACCATCAATGCTTTAATTTTTCCCTCATTTCATTGTCTTTCATGTCAGCATCCAATATTCAACTCTTTTAAATCCGGTTTAAAAAATATTTTTTGTTGTGTATTAAAGTTGTTTCAGAAGAAGTTTGAAATTGGACGTTTTCCTCGCTTGAAAGTCAATGAATCAGGTGCTGTACTTTGCCCGTATTCCTTTAGTTCAATATTTTTTTTTCATTGCTCGCATCAAACTTTATTGTATGAAAATTTTCTTTCATTCCACAGAAACGTCCAAGAACTTATGGAAACAAATTTTAAGACCGAAGACATTGCCAGCAAATGGCTCTGTTCCTGCATCTCGTCCACAAAAAGTTTATTCCAAATCTAGAGTCATCACTAATGAAAAAGAGCAAGAAGAAGGAAATTCTATAGGGCCTCCTCAGAGGAAATGCCCTTTTTACAAAAGAATCCCAGGTAACGTAGCATAAAATTCGGTAAATAACTATTATTTCATGGAAACAAATTATTTAAGTATTTTATTGTTCTTAGTTTGACAGTTCAAAGATCCTTTACAGCACCAGAAAACACAGTAGATGGTAAATTCTTTGGAAATAGTGAGATGTAAAAAGTAAAGAGCAGTGGTTCCAATTTAATAAGAATGTAATGCAATTTTGAAAGTGGACACAAGTGGCAGCTAAGTAATAATTTCCCAAAAATAATGGCCCGTTATTGGAAAATGTGATCAATAGGTCGGTTTCCCTTGTCACAGAATCGTATTTTGGTAGTTCAAGTCTATGGCTCAGCAGAAAGTAACCAGAACTGAACAGACATCCAGTTTCTACCTGCAGTATTACCTAACACATACAGTATCTCTCCCTTGAAAAACACGTTGTATGACATCATCCACCGCGGTGGTACTTACCATGGTTTCTTCCACCTCCGATTATTCAACTAGATCATTGGATTCTCCCCTTAAGACACGGATGAAATCAAGGTGAAAGAAAACATGACACGTATCACTGCGGTGGATGACATCATATATCATGTTTTTTAAGTGTGACATCTTCGTTAATATTGGACGGGAAAACCTGTTGTTTAGACAGACCTTATTATTGTTTGCTGAACTATAATCTAAAATCATCAAAACTTGATTCTGTGACTAATGCAAGTGAGCCATCGTAAAAATATTTTTCTCATCCAATTAAGCAGCTAGAAAATTGATCCTCCACCTCTCCAAAACTCTTCAATGTTTGTTAATTTAAATATAGTGAAAGTTTTGCAAATTTTAAAATATTTCCTTTCTCAAATTAAGATCAACTTGGAAAACTTCGGTGACACCAGTCACCATTTTTTGGATTATGATAATTGATGGAAAGATTTTCTTGAGCTCCAATATTCACTTGATCCAACCAGCTGCCAAATTCTACTTTTGTGATATCATTTCAGCGAAGAAAAATTACTGAGTAAACTTGAGGAATATGCCTGAGATCAGTGCAGTTCAGATCAGAACTGACAATAGTCTTTACCAGGTCTCAATGATTAGACTTTTTCTATTTAGAGGATTCTAATGCTGAAGATGCATAAATTCTTGGAAATCTACCGTCAGTTGGTCTAACATGAGCCGGTTTTTGACTTTGAGGCTTTGCATTTTTGCAGTAAATTTTTTTTTTCATGCAATCAATTTTTGTCGTAGATCAGTCCCACATAGAAGAGTAAGAATAGCCCATTGAAAAAATTTTCCATCAAACTGGGTATTTTTTTTTTAAAAAAAATTGAGGTGGCTCATGTTACCTGCAAGGTGGGGTAACATGAGCCACCCTATTATTTTTAATTTAAAGGCACATGTAAGCCTACTACAGGCTTACATGAGCCTCCCAAAAGTTTTTTAAAAAAAAAATTGAGTTACATAACATTAAAAACCAGGCTAAAAACGCACAAAACTTTAATTTTCCTACAATTTACGTCAAATTTCAGGCGAACAAATACATTTAACATCTAAAACCTTGTATCTAACAGGAAATCATTTAACAATCAATAGCACTAAGTTACTTTAAAGGCACACCGACAAGACAAATGGGACCTAAAGTCAAGAGAGATCAGTCAAAGTTTCTTAAAAAGTATATATATATAGTAGTATTTTGGGCTACGTTAGATTCACTTTTATTTATAGTAGTATATATGTAAGTATAAAATTAATATTGACTTTAATTTTAATTTTTGGAACTTTTTGACTTTGTTTTCCCCGCAAAATGGTGTGGACTCAGCACCATTTCTCCACCTTGTTACATACAGTTCGGGCCACTTCTTAGTGTTTTTTTCTTTTTTTTTCTTATATAAGTATATATAGTATAAAAGTCTTAAAAAGCCGAACAGTAAATATGAAAGATATGTGAAGGAGTTGATTTATGCTCTAAAGGAATGCCAATTTTACTAAGAATGTATCATGAAAACCATTACTGTATAGATTGCTCCTGGAAGACTTGCGAAAATTGGGTGGCTCAAGTTACCTCCAACATCCCAAAATTTTGGTTTTTCCAAAAAAAAATCGGTCAAAAACTAAAATGTTCAAAATCCAATGCATGGGCATGAAAGTTGGAGGTATTTGTGAGGTTCGGCGACCGGCGAAATTATTCTGTGATTATCGATAGTCACTTTTCAAGGAGGTTAGTTTCAGAGGTAGAAAAAGGGGCAAAAAATTCTAAAAACTAAATAATTTATAAAAATTTCTTATCGATGGAAAAATGTGTCTCTATACCATTGCAATTCCGCCAAGACACGCCACTATCACATCATGTTGTTGTTTTCGTTGTTTACTTTCGCGACTGTGCTGCCACAGGCAAGAGAAAAAAAAATCCCCAAACGGCTCATGTTACCCCCGAGGCTCATGTTAGACCAACTGACGGTATGTGTTTGACGAAATTTTAATGGTACCTATCAGCTTTGAAAAATTAACAGTTGAATCTCAATGCTTCATGTATGTTACTGCTATTTTGTTCCAGACACCACATTTGTAGTAGATGCTTTTAGCTATGGAATTATTCCTGGAATTACAAGTTATTTTCTAAGTCACTTCCACTCTGATCATTACATTGGACTCCGGAAAAGTTTCAACAAACCTATTTATTGCTCAAAAATCACTGGTAAGGCTGGAAATTTTCATCTCATTTACTGCCCTTTTAAAGGGGCTCATTGCTCACTCCTTTTCAGCCAACTTTGCCTGAATGCAGAAAATAGTTTTCTCAGGGATATTAGGAGGTTGTTCCTAAGACTCAAAACTGTCCAAATGATTAGATGTAGATAAGTTTATTAAATGATGTAGATTAGTTATTTCTACGTAAAATTTTGCTAAGAAACCAAAAATTTCATAAAAAAGTAAAAAATAAATAATCTCCAAGGGGAGAAAAAGCTATCAAAAAGGTGATGCCAAAAATTGAGTTCAGCAAATCATCAAACATCATTTCCCTGCCTGGCTATGCCATCAGTGCTTGCCAAAAACATTGTTCCTAACGATGACGTTTTAACGTTTGGCATTTTCAAGACGAAGTTTCTGTATCATTTAGGGTTCAAAAAATTTAAAAAAATTCCTAGAAATTTAGTTCATTCCATACTGTCAGAAAATAAATTAGTAAAAATAGGAAGCACTGAGCCATTGTCTATCTAGACCCTGGGAAAAAGGGGGAGGAGTTAAAGTCAAATATTTCCCAAGAATTTTTTTCTTTGTAGCAAAGAGAGAGTTTTTAAAACCTATATATATATATATGAGTCGCTTTTATAGCGCTCTTTGGCGCTGTGCGACGCCTAATCGCCACAAAGCTCGGTCTTCCCACAGGTCATCAGGGAGTTGACAATCTCTTATCTCATTTAACACCCCCTGTCGCCAACCTCTCACTGGGCGTCCCCTACGTCTCCTCCCAGGAGAACCTACCTTTTAAAACCTACCCTCTCTAAATCCTCAGAGAAAAGTATGTCAGATTCTTTCTTGTGAGAGAGGGAACAAAGAACCAGAATGGAAATTGGTATGCACACAGGTGGCGCACTGACTAAAAACTGCTTGAGCTACTGTGTACTGTCACAAGCTACTTCTTTCCGCTTTTTCCTCCTAGTGACTTCTGCTGCTGCAGTAGTGCTATTAATTGAGCAGTTTCAAAAAATTGTTTTTTAAACACAGCAAGAAGCCGGCAATAAGTCATAGGATGCGACGACAATGTGAGGTGAGGTGTGAAAATGAGTGGGAGTCCAACTTTAAGTCAACCTGTTCCTAAATGTAATTAGTTTTTATGTATAAAATTTCTGCTTTCAGCTAGTCTAGTCATGATGAAAATTGGTGTTAAAGAAGAATTTTTGCGAATCTTAAATTTAAAAGAACCTAGAATCATTAATGGAGTTGAAGTTACCACACTAGATGCTAACCAGTAAGTATACTTGTTCTGTATGTTTTGTTTGATTTTATGTTATTTTAGATTGTATTCAGCTGTTTTGGAGCTGGAAGTTCCTTTAAATGGTTTTCAGGTTTGCTTTTGTCTCTTACCCCTGCCAACCACTTTTCAGGAATAAGAATGGTCAGCACTAGGTAGCCACTAGGTTCGCCACTATGTTGCTCTTCTACACGGTTTATGTCTTAGAGAAGCAAAAATCATTGTTACATACAAGTTAAAGCAAGAAACTGACCCATTACATGTAGCAGCATTAATATTTGTACTAAATACAATGGCATCAAATTGGTGACGATTCATCAAATATTTATGTAAGAATCACCATAACGGACATCGCCCATTTACTCAATGTGCAAAAGAGAGTTATAATACTATCTCTCTCCTATACATTAAGTCAATGGGTGACATCTGAACAAGTTTGTAAACAGTGGTCTCATCAATAATGAAAATGTTTTGTATGGAAATTGATCTATTCAACTTGCTTAATTTTTTCTGTAGAAAAAACCAGATACTTTTTAGATTTCTAACAAGTCCATTTTTTTCCAAAAAAAAAAAAAAAAAAACCCAAGTAAGTTGAGTTCATTAATTACTTTACTGCTTGTTTTCAAATAGGTTTAGTTCTTATTTTTTGTTGTGATTTTTGGTTTTCCATTGTACATAAGTCTAGCAATACATCAGAGGTTTTAATCCAACCTATCAATCATCACTTTCTTTTTGAAGAGGTTCAATCACTTTTCCATTTCATCAAAAAGGTTTGTATGCCCCTAGTTGTTTTTTAATGCTGTAATCAGGTCTCCTTGCCTTTGTTTTTCATAATTTAAATACTAGTGATTGAAAGAACCTGTGATTGATTAAAATGCACTATGTTTTATGCTTTTGTTTTTTAATGTTTCTGTTCTTTAATGGTGTATTTTTTTTAATTTTATACTCTATTTATTGAGCTATCTCACAATTTTGTTTTACAGCTGCCCCGGAGCTGTCATGTTTTTGTTCCGATTGACCGACAACCGGCAATATCTTCATGTGGGGGACTTCCGAGCTTGTTATGAAATGGAAGAAGAACCAATCTTACAAAAAGCTCGCATCACTGCTTTATTTCTTGATACAACGTGAGTTTATAATTTATGTTATCTTATGTTCTTTCTAATAAATTACTTGTAAAGAAATGACCCAAAAGCTATTTAGAAGCTTTTAAGAGTTAAGTAGTACACATGTTCTATTCAGCATGAAAAGGTTGCACCGGGTATAATAGTTTTAGGGAGATCATGAAGAGGAATGAAAAATTTGTCCCTTTTGATACCTTAATCACTACTTTTTGTTTAGAATTATTTTACCATTCCTTGATACGTAACTCTAAACGTGTGTGAGGTTTTAAAACGTTAAGTGTCATTGGAAAAATACAAACCGAAAAATAACAAAAATATAGAAACAGGAAATTTATTCTTTGAGAAACTGTCCCATGTTCTCATTTAATCCACCATTGACAGAAGTATTTTATTATGATTTTCAGATACTGTAATCCTCAGTACACATTCCCGTTGCAGAAAGATATCATTCAGGCTGTGGTTCAAGTTGTTGAAAAAAAAATTTCAGATTGCCCAAAACTTTTAGTGGTGTGTGGTTCTTACACCATTGGTAAGTTGTGAGAACAAAAAGTCTGAAAGTTTCCTACTCTTATCATTATAAATGTCTTGCCTTTTTTCCTAAAGAAATTTTTTCTTGTTTCTTTTATGTATGTTGACATAATTAACTTTTTACAGTGATACATCAAGTCTGTCTATGAACGAATGGACTGAAGATTTGACTGAAAATTTTCCAGAGTCCCCCCTCCCCCTATTTGGAGCACAGATTGCTAGGATTTACTCAAAGTAAAAGCTGTTGTTCCGAGGTTGTTAAGAGGTGTGGCAAAAACATGAAGCGGAAGAGCAAGCAGGTTTCAGAGCCGGTCGCCCAACGATCGATCACTTATTTACCATCATCCACATGATCGAGAAAAAGAAGGGGGTAGGCCAGGAATTACATCTAGTGTTTGTGGATCTCCAGAAAGCCTACGATAGTGTGCCATTGATGAAATTTTGGGAAGCCTTGAACAAAAGGGGTTTTAGTGAGGGACTAATTAGTGTCATTAAAGAATTTTATGATGTTTGTTTGTTTGAAAGTGAAAAAATTAAACACCAAGAAGTGGCCGGAAACTGTATGTAACAAGGTGGAGAAATGGTGCTGGGTCCACACCATTTCGCGGGGAAACAAAGCCAAGAAATACCAAAAATTAAAATTAGAGTCCAAAATAAATTTTTAGAACTCTAATGCGCACCAGTACAAAACTGAGGGGGGAGAGTGTTCAGCTCAGGCAGTTTGCAATGGAATGTTAAGTTGGAGTCACGCCGAGAGATCTATACCAGTTTGGGCCTTATTAGACCTCATCAGCAGATCACACTCGGCAGTGAACCCAACTTAACATGCCGCAAAATCCAAGACGGCATTAAAACGCCGTCATGGATATGACCCGAGGCATGACACAAAGTGTGATCCTCGCGCCATCTACCATCGCTGCTGAACAACTCTCATAACAAAACAAGGAAAACCCGAGAAAAATGGCGGCAATGGCGATTGGACGTCGCAGAGCGCGAGGCTACACTGTGAAAGCAACTTAATGTATGTATGTAGGAGCTGTTGTTACTGTTACCAAGAAGGGACAAAACATGTACCGATCATCAGTAATTAATTAAAAAATGTATTAAGACTAGTAAAAACTTTTCCAACGTGTAGATGATTGCTTGTGAGAATTTTTATTTTTAATTTGTTGCAGGGAAAGAGAAAGTATTTTTAGGAATACTCGAGAGGTTTAACAAATGGAGGCTTTGGGCTCACACTCCAAAGCAACGGGTACTGAATATTTTGGAAAATAGGGAAATTTCATCAAAACTAGTCAGCAATGCTCAAGAAGCCAATGTTCATGTTCTTTCCATGGGCGAATTAAAATTTCAGGTAAACAAAGTTTCAATTTTTATGATTTTTCTACATCCAATTTGTCCTTGATGTACAGTCTTCGGACTTATGAGAAGTGATTAGTTGAAATTTTCGGACAAGAATCATTTGAGTGAGGTGAAAAAAAATCTCAATACCTAAACCACAGTTTAATTTACATACGAGAACCAGTAGATTAGAAATAAGATTTTGGTTATAATTAGCCTATTGTAAGTCCACATTAAGTTTTCTTGGACTTCACTGAAAGCTGATAACATACTTAAGAACACTATGATCACAGAATTAGATTATCTCAATTATACTAATTATAGTAATCATTTGGTGACAAGTTGACTATAAGCAATTCAGGAATGTTTTAAGATTTCAATGTATTATCTAAGGATGATGTCCTTTGTCGAGAATCAATTTTTCTTTGACACCATTAGTTCAATATCAACCATTTTTTTCACCAGTAAAAGATTCAAGACCTAGTGTAACTTGATTGCATAAGCTGTGCAACCAGAGTTACTTCTTGTGCATCAACCATTCAATGTCTGTGTGGGCAACAGTTGCCTCCAGTTTAGCCAGCACAAAGAAGATCCCCCTGTTTTATTGTAACTTACTAATTGATCTGCCAGTATAAACTCATGGAACGAACAAGATATTTTATTTTTTTAAAGAAATTCAATATGCCCCTCTGAACTTTTCATACGGCGATATTGTAAACGAAGTTCAAAAGGTAAAACTTGAAACCATCAAACTTATCAAGCGTTTTTTCCCCGGTAGGGTTTTCATCCGTCACAAGAGGTCTGTTTTCAATAGGTGCACTGTAATTATTGTACATTTCCTTTTTTATTCCCTTTGCAGTCTTTGGAAAAACACTTACTAAATATGAAAGGTGCTTTTAGTCATGTCCTTGCTTTTAAACCAACTGGTTGGGAAATGGGCAAAGGAGCAAAGTTTGACATGTTAAATCAAACATCATCCCGAAATGTTACTATTTGTGGTAAGTACCTTAATCATTGAAGCCATAATCTTAGTGTTAGGGTGTGATGATATTTTAGAGGACAGTTTGAAAACCCCACACACAGGGTGGCCCAGACCAGCTCTACCAAGTTCTTTTCTCGATTATTTGAGGTAATCCACAAATTGAAGGACTGCAGGGATGAATATGGAATGGACCCCAAGAAATCCGAATCTCATCATACAGAAACCTCTCTAGTTCCCCTTGGATCCTGAAAGCGGATTCTGGCTGTAAAAATGAGCATCGTTATCACAATTTTGAAAACATTTAATCAAAATAAATAATACGGACAATTTTGACCTTAATCCTTACCAAGAAGTTCAAAATTGGTCCATTCCTGTCTGAAATGTTGGCCTTTGAAGTTGGGGGTATACATTTTTATATATATTTACTGTAAAATCACTGTCCTCCTATTGTGGGGAGGGAGGACAGTGCTTATACTATATTAAAATACCCTTTCTAGGGGTTGCCCTATAATATAACAATATTAAAAAGTTACGCCTTTTTTTTAAAACAAAAATAAACACAGCCTTCCTATTCACGATTCGCCAAGTAGGTCACAAAAATGACGTGTAGGGCCGGGGAAAAGTTGTTTTCATGGATAATTAACCTAACGACTAACCGACCTAACAAAAGGAACCCGAATCTAATGGTACCGGAACCCCTTGGGGCCTTGTTGATGGGGAACTGGACTAACCCAAGTCCTGTCAAATTTATAAGCTGAGAAAACCTCTTTTACTTCTTCAGGAAGGGCCCGGAAAGGGGGTTCAAGACCATCAGATTTGGATTCTTTGGGCTTGATTACCCTCGAAAACACTTTTCCTATGATCGGCTCTATCGATTTAGTTACGTAGCATGTTATCAAGGGGGGCTCTGTCCCCCGAACTTCAGGTATCAATATTTCAGACTGGGATGGGCCGATGTTGGACTTCTTCATATTGCTTTAAACCAACATTTCCTGAACTTACTGATTCTCATCAAATGATTTCAAAATTGTAATGGAGGTACTGCTTTGAAACTCAGAACCCCCCTGCTAGCCTCAAAGGGGAGGAGTCTTGGGATTATGAAATTTAGATTCTTTGGGGTCGGCTTTCTTTGTGTTGTACACAGTTCTTGACTTCGTCCGAGCTACTTGTAGACTAACTAAGAAACTCTGTTAGCTTCAGTGCTTGAGAAGGTTTTATAAGAAAATTCCTTATGAAGAGGTCATGAATACTCATTGATTACTTTACATCAAATTTAAACCGTTTGAGTTATTTCAATTCTTAGGTAGATTCTGAAAGAATTTGTTTGCACTGAATTCTGTAGCTTAATTTTTTTAAAAGATTTGTTCTGCTTTTTCTTCTAGGCGTTCCGTATAGCGAGCACTCAAGCTACAATGAACTACGTCGTTTCACCCAATTCATCTCCCCTGAAAAAGTCATTCCAACTGTCAATATAGGTAATCCTACATCGCGAAAACGAATGATGACTGTAATCGATAAGTGGCTACAAAAATCTGAACTGAACAAACAACAAAAAATGAATGCATTTTTAGCACACTAACTGCCAGAGCACAAAACTATATATATACAAGTGCATTTGGCAAAAGAAACTGGATAAAGTGCCATTTTTACATTATGTTTCAACTTTTCTTTCTCCTTTGTTTATTCTAGTGGTTGTTCATGATGACTGAATGAGACAATTTTTCATTTCTTATCTTGTGTCATTTGTCCTGTACTCATTCAATTTTTTTACAGTGCCTTTATTCTTTAAACTTATCAAAACTTTTGAATCATGGTTTTTACTCTTCTTATTTGGTTCCTTATTCAAGGCATTAACGAGTCCCGGTTTTAAGGAAAATGAGAACTTTTTGTTTTCGTTTGTTTTTTTATCCTTTTAAGTGAGGCATTCCAAGATTCTCTCAGGTTTAATGGACAAGAACAGTTTTGTTTCAATAATCTTCATTGTCTCTGTGCCTAGCTAAAGTTTTTTTTTTTCTTTCTTTTTTTTCTTTTTTTTTTTTGTTATGAACAAAATTTTAGTTTAGCTGCTCAAATAAGTGTCTCCAAAATACCTTTATTTTAAACACTTTAATTTTTTTTTAGTTTTCTTGAGGGGAAACTCCTTTAACCTATTTAACACAAAACCTAATTGATTAGTTCTTTTAAGTAACCACAGATACCCTGTGCAACGCTGCTAAGATTATCCATACAAATTAATTGCCCTTGGAGAGAAAATTGGAAGTCATGACACTATTTTAATAAATTTTCGCTGTGACTTTGTTAAAATTCTTATATGTGTGTGTTTAATTCGGTGTAAAATGGAGACAAAGATGGATGATCCTAGCTGTGGTGAAAAAATGTAAGTTATTTTTGAAAAGAACTCCTCAATTTTAAAATAAAGAATACTCCAATCTTATATTTGCTATGCAAAAATCTTAGTTTTGTATTACTTATCTGCTTGAAACTAGATTCAGCATATTGAAACTTTGATTTCATGCATAACAATGGCTCATTCTGTCAGTGAAAAAAAATAAAAGGATAAAGTAAATCTCATTTGGATCATTGAACTGATAGTGTTAACGTATGGACTATAATACGAATTTATTCATTCGATACCTCAGTTTCATCTTCCTCATTGCTTCTATCATAGCATCTTGTACGTGAGATGTAATTGTTAGTTACTCCTGTTTTTCAATGAGTGTGTCGTGTCCATTTGTTTATGTACAGAATGTGTAATTATTTACAAACTTGAAAGGCCACTTAGACTCTTTTTAACAGAAGTAAACTTGAAGAAAAAAATACAGGATGATTTAAATTGTTTAAAACAAACAAGTCGTTTTAAGCCATTTTTGAAGAAAAAATGAAGGTTACTTATATCCGTATTAGTATCACCTTTTAGTTGAAACAGAAGATTACACTCGCCATTTCACAGAAATGCTCTTTGACAGCCTTTAAGGAGGACAAAAAATGCAACCTATTCTTTTCTCACGTATGAAATACTTTATTTGCCCTTTATGCAGCCAAAGTTCCTATTGCACACCCTCTATTCCTCAAATTTTATCAGATTATCTAAATTTGAACGAAAGCCAACAAATTTGAAGGTCCTCAATGTATCAAAGATAGGCCGATATAGTCGAAAAATCAATTTTCAAAGTACTTGCTTGTAATAGTACCTAAGTATGTCACTTTTTTAAAGACAATCCGATAAACGCAAGTCCACTGTTCACACGTCAAAAGAAGTTATGCTAAAAGTAGTAGCCGTGTCTAATCAAACAATATTTCTACGGAGAATGTAATTTTTATCAATTAGTAAGTGAATATATCATCACCTATCTTCATCTTTAGTGTATATATTTGTATACAGGGAAATTATGGGAGCGCATATCTCGGTTTGCGACATTGCAGAATATGATTGGTGAATGTTTAAATCGTGTATATTTGGTGAAATACAGTTTCATCATTGATAGGTGATTTTTCTTCCCTGTGTGAAAAATATTCTGTAAAAATTTCAAACCATGTCGTTAGTATGTCCTATGTTAAAACAAGAAAATAGGAGAGGTGATTTTGGAACTCTGCAGTGAAGATGCGCGTTTTTGTAGTTTCACCATTACCTCGGCAATGAAGAGTTTTGAAACAATTTTTGCTCAGTCTATACTTGATTACCTATTTTAGTTGTAACTTATTTCTATTTATACTTACTGTGATTTTAAATTTTTTACTCGTCCTTCATTTATTTTTATAAAAGTTTTCCTAAAATAAAATTTGTGGAAATTTGCAGTGCCTATTCATGTCTTTAAGTTTTTTTTCCTCCTTTTTATACCCTGTTCTCCTGTAATTTTAAAAAATATTACCTAGTTTCCCTCCGCACAGATGATTTTCAAAAGTCAACATGAAAAATTCGCAACTCCCTAATCTGGAAATGGGAAACCACAGAGGAAAACTTCAGGAAAACGTACAACTTCAGACTTCAGGGCATTTTTTTTCTTTTTCTTTTTTTAGTGAAAAACGTATTTGCACCGTATTTTGATTCGGAAAATTTCACAGGTCGGTGAAAAAAAATTTTCTTGGAAATATGATGGTTGATTCTTGAGTAATTTATAGCGCCGAGTTAGAAAAAGACCGATGAATCATCAAAAACGGCCAAAAACATCCGTTTCTTGGCTTGGGAAGCCTCGGGACCATGTACAATCAGGACCAGGCATAGAATCACGACTGAACTGGAATCATGATAAACCATCAAAATCTAACGTTTCTTGCCCTAGGAAGGCGCGGGGAACCAAGGGACTAAGGGCAATCGATTCTACGACTTGATAATTGTAGGATTAGGTTTTACTCCAAAGACTTCATGCACAAGGAAAATGCACAGCTATGTGCAAAAGAATTACATAGGGTGTTCAAAAAGTTTTGCACACTTTCGGATTTTAAGCGATCGATTTGCGGTTTATGTGTCCTTCAAGTAGACGTAATTACCAATAAAACAAGACCAAGAACAACTCTCTAGCTAAAAAAATTTCCGTTCTTATTTCATCTCTTCCATAAGAAACAAACCAAATTTACGACTTTAACCAAATCTTCTGCTATCGAATGCGAAAAATCATGAAGAATTTAAGTTTTATGTTGACCAGCTTCTCGAAAGAAAGACAAAATTTCTAAGGAAGTTTGCAACGTCGCAAATGGAGAAACGCCGTCCCTCATTTTGCCCAAAATTATGTATGCGTAAAATAGAAGGCATTATGACCTTCCTCTCTCAACTTATATTCGTCTGTATCGATAAACAATGGGACGCGTTCGCTACGGCGCCTTGATACAACTATACAACCTCGACGGATGTCCGTATTGCGTTCAAAAAATTGAAGGCGTTTTGACTCCCTGCTCATAATGCCTGTAGTTGATTCGATCGACGGACGTGTTGGTCGGCGGTGACGGGGACTTGATGCAACTTTTTAAACTTGATGGATGTCCGCATCGCACCGACTGAAGTGCGAAACCACGTATCTCCTTTGCGGTGTTTCCAAATTTCCATTCTTATTTCATCTCTTCCATGAGTAACAATCCAAATTCACAACTTTAAATTTTGAACCAAATATTCTACTATCGAATGCGAAAAATCATGCAAGAATTTAAGTTTTATGTTGACCAGCTTCTCGAAAGAAAAATAAAATTTCTAAGGAAGTCTGCAACGTCGCAAATGGAGAAACGCCGTCCCTCATTTTGCCCAAAATTATGTATGCGTAAAATATAAGGCATTATGACTTTCCTCTCTCAACTTATATTCGTCTGTATCGATAAACAATGGGACGCGTTCACTACGGCGCCTTGATACAACTATACAACCTCGACGGATGTCCGTATTGCGTTCAAAAAATTGAAGGCGTTTTGACTCCCTGCTCATAATGCCTGAAGTTGATTCGATCGACAGACGCGTTGGTCGGCGGTGACGGGGACATGATGCAACTATTTAAACTTGATGGATGTCCGTATCGCACCAGTCTAAGCGCATCAGTCTAAAGAATCATTCTAAACCCAAAAATCGGCAAAATTAAGAGAAATGAAAGCAGAATAGTGTTTGGAAAAAAACCTCACATTCGACACACAAATCGGTCAAGGGTCAATTCCAAGCGAGCTTACTTGCGGTTCCGACCCTATCGGCGAAATTTCCATTTTGACCCGAAAAATTTAGTCCATGTTATCCGTGTCGATTTTTCTCGATTTGGGACGGAGAAAAATATTCGAGATTTCAGTCGCATCCTACGTTGCTGGAAGCGTAGAATCGATTCAGCACGGTCCCGACTCTCGGCGAGGCTTCCTGAGCCGAGAAACAGTAAAAAACTGGTCAAAAACGAGCTTTTCTGACCACTTTTTGACTCTTTCTCTGGAGCGTTTTCAGCGGCTAGCTCGAAGCAAGGGACTTGCGGAGCTATTCCGACAGGAAAATCGCACTCGGCGGGTCAATTCCAATCGAGCTTACTTGGTTTCGGACCGATCAGCGAACTTTAGATTTTGACGCTAAAAATTTAGTCCGTGTAACTAAATTGTCTACAATTGTCATGGGTCAATTCAAAGTGATTTTACTTGGTTTCGGACGCGATTGTCGAACTTTTGATTTAGACCCTAAAAATTTAGTCCATGTAACCCCTGTCGATTTTTCTCGATTTGGGACTGAGAAAAAAATGTCGAGATTTCAGTCGGATCCTACGTTGTTGGAGTCGTAGAATCGATTTCGCATGGTCACGACGAAGCTTCTTGAGCTGAGAAACAGTCAAAAAATGGTCAAAAACGAGCTTTTCCGACCACTTTCTGACTCTTTCCCTGTAGCGTTTTCAGCGGATATCTCGAAGCGAGGGACTCGCGGAGCTTTTTCGACTGGAAAATTGCAGTCAGCGTGTAAATTCCGAGCGAGCTTACTGGGTTTCGGCCCGTTAAGTGAACTTTCGATTTTGACGCTAAAAATTTAGTCCATGTAACCATGAACTAAATTTTTCGGGTCAAAATCGAAAGTTTGCCGATCGGGCCGAAACCACGTACTTTCGCTTATAATCAACCCGCTGAGTACGATTTTCGACTCGGAAAAGCTCCGCGAGTCCTTCGCTTCGAGCTATCCGCTGAAAACGCTCCAGAGAAAGAGTCAAAAAGTGGTCAGAAAAGCTCAGTTTTGACCACTTTTTGACTGTTTCTCGGCTCAGGAAGCCTCGCCGAGAGTCGAGACCGTGCGGAATCGATTCTACGCCTCCAACTACGTAGGATCCGACTGTGATCTCGTAATTTTTTTCTCAGTCCAAAATCGAGAAAAATTGACATGGGTTCCATGGACTAAATTTTTCGGGTCGAAATCGAAAGTTCGCCCATCGGGCAAAAACCAAGTAAGCTCGCTTGGAATTGACCCGCTGAGTGGGATTTTCTAGTCGGTTCCAGAGGGGGGACGGAAAAAGCTATTTTTGCATCAAGCTCTTTTAGTCCATGAAACCCCAGTCGATTTTTCCCGATTCATTCCGATGAAAGAAAATAATCCGAGATTAGTATTAAATCCCATATAGGTACTTGGAGGCGTAGAATAGATTCCGCGTGGTCCCGAGGCTCGCCGGAGCTTCCTGAACCGAGAAACAGTAAAAAACGAGTGTTGATTTCTTGACGTTTCGGGCATGGTCGAATATCCACCTCTGTGTGGTCCAGGCCTTCCATTTATAAGAAATGAACGAAAAAATTATGAAAGAATAAATATGAATATGATTTAATAATTTTAATTTCCGCCACCGCGCTAACTGCACTGTTTTTGATGAAATGCATTAAGCATTCATGCAGTCCTGTAGGCACTATGAGTCTCACGCCATGTAACCCCTGTCGATTTTTCTCTATTTGGGACTGAGAAACAAATTTCGAGATTTCAGTCGCATCCTACGTAGTTGAAGGCGATGAATCGATTCCGCAAGGTCCCACCACTGGGCGAGGCTCCCTGAGCTAAGAAACAGTCAAAAATTGGTCAAAAACTAGCTTTTCTGACCACTTTTTGTCTCTTTCTTCGGAGCGTTTTCAGCGGATAGCTCGTAGCGAGGGACTCGAGGAGCTATTCCGACTGGAAAATCGCACTCGGCGGGTCAATTCCAAGCGAGCTTTCTTTGTTTCGGCCCGATCGGCAAACTGTCGATTTTGACGCTAAAAATTTAGTCTATGTAACCCCTGTCGATTTTTCTCGATTTGGGACTGAGAAAAAAATGTCGAGATTTCAGTCGGATCCTACGTAGTTGGAGTCGTAGAATTGATTTCGCACGGTTACGACTCTAGGCAAGGCTTCTTGAGCCGAGAAACAGTCATAAACTGGTCAATAACAAGACCACTTTTCTGACGAGTTTTTGCCTGTTTCTCTGGAAGATTCTCAGCGGATATCTGGAAACGAGGAACTCGTGGAGCTTTTCGGACAGGGAAATCGCACTCAGCGGGTCAATTCCATGCGAGCTTAGGTACTTGGTTTCGGCCAATACCTTCTCGGCCCGCTCGGTGAACCATCGATTTTCATGCTAAAAATTTAGCCCCTGTCGATTTTTCTCGATTTTGGATTCAAAAAAAATTTCGATATTTCAGTCGGATCCTATGTACTTGGAGGTGTAGAATCGATATCGCACTGTCCGGACTCTCGGCGAGGCTTACTGAGCCGAGAAACAGTCAAAAACTAATCAATACGAGCTTCATTGGTTTCGGCCCAATGGGCGAATTTTCGAATTGACTCGAAAAATGTAGTCCATGTAACCCATGTCAATTTTTCTCGATTTTAGACTGAGAAAAAAATTTCGAGATTTCAGTCGCATCCTTCGCAGTTGGAGTCGCAAAATCGATTCCACACGGTCCCGACTCTCCGCGAGGCTTCCTGAGCTGAGAAACAGTCAAAAACTGGTCGAAAACGAGATTTTCTGACCACTTTTTGACTCTTTCTCTAGAGCGTTTTCGGCGGATATCTCAAAGCGAGGGACCGACGGAGCTTTTCCCACTCAAAAATCGCACTCAATGGGTCAATTTCAAGCGAGCATACTTCGTTTCGGACGCGATCAGCGAACATTTGATTTTGTCGAGCCGAGAAACGGTCAAAAGCTGGTCAAAAACGAGCTTTACGTTTTGACTCTTTCTCTGGATTGTTTTCAGCGGATAGCTCGAAGCGAGGGACTCGCGGAGCTTTTCCAACTGGAAAATCGCACTCGGCGGGTCAATTCCAAGCGAGCTTACTTGGTTTCGGCCCGAACAGCGAACTTTAGATTTTGACGCTAAAAATTTAGTCCATGTAACCCCTGTTGATTTTCCCCGATTTGTCTGAGAAAAACATTTCAAGATTCCAGTCGCATCCTATGTAGTTGGAGGCGTAGAATCGATTCCGCACAGTCTGACTGAAGTGCGAAACCACGTATCTCCTTTGCGGTGTTTCAAAATTTCCGTTCTTATTTCATCGCTTCATTGAGAAACAATCCAAATTTACGACTTTATATTTTGAACCAAATATTCTACTTTCGAATGCGAAAAGTCATGGAGAATTTAAGTTTTATGTTGACCAGCTTCTCGAAAGAAAGACAAAATTTCTAAGGAAGTTTGCAACGTCGCAAATGGAGAAACGCCGTCCCTCATTTTGCCCAAAAATATGTATGCGTAAAATATAAGGCATTATGACCTTCCTCTCTCAACTTATATTCGTCTGTATCGATAAACAATGGGACGCGTTCGCTACGGCGCCTTGATACAACTATACAACCTCGACGGATGTCTGTATTGCGTTCAAAAAATTGAAGGCGTTTTGACTCCTTGCTCATACTACCTGTAGTTGATTCGATCGACAGACGCGTTGGTCGGCGGTGACGGGGACTTGATGCAACTTTTTAAACTTGATGGATGTCCGTATCGCACCGACTGAAGTGTGAAACCAAAGTTCGTGAAGTTAACACCCCGACTTTTAAAATTTAAAATTTTGCTCATCATTGCTCATCATTTGATTACCTCGAAAATCGCTTTCATTTTTTTTGCTGAGGCATGTCCCCCCCAAAAATCGAATTTGAACTTTCAGATAGGTCATTGACCTTAGCACCCTCACTTTTTCCGATTGACCTGAAAATGGTCTCAAACGACGCAGAATCAGTTGCTCACGTTTTCTCAGCCCTTTGTTTCCTTTGCCCGAATCCTACCTCCTCCCGAAAATGAATGGCGGTTGCGAACATAGGTAGTCGGTGCGCTCCCTTTGATACGCGCCAAAATGCGGCCATTCGATTTAGAAGGGAAGTGGGGGGTTAGCAACGAAAACTAAGGGCTGAGCAAAGGTGAGCAAATGATCCTGCGTCGTTTGACACCAATTTCAGCTCAATAGGACAAAGTGGGGGTGCTGCCTTTGATGTCCCCCAAAATGCTGCCTTTCATTTTGGGGGGAAGGGGGAGGTGAGCAACGAAAACTAAGGGCTGAGCAAAGGTTAGCAAATGATTCTGCGTCGTTTGAGACCATTTTCAAGTCAATCGGACAAAGTAGGGGTGCTAAGGTCAATGACCTTTCTGAAAGTTCAAGTTCGATTTTTGGGGGGTACATGCCTGAACAAAAAAAATGAAAGTGATTTTCCAGGTGAGCAAATGATGAGCGATGATGAGCAAAGAGAAAATTTAAAATTTTAAAAGTCGGGGTGCTAACTTCACGGACATCAGAGATACAGGGTTTTGGAAATGACATGTAGCGTGACCGCCTCCAGGATTTTTAGCTACAAATATGTTTATCAAGGGAAAAAAAGTTAAATGAGAATTGAGTGTTTTCATTGAAAAAACTTAAAAAATCTTACAGAAATTGACGAACTTTAAGTTTCTTCATCGGATGACACGGATGACTCAATATTTGGCTGTTTTTCAAAGTATTTTTCACCACTTTGAACTCAAAGCTTCAGCCGTTCTGTCCAATTCACAAGGATCGTCTTTTCGAAGTCTTATTGACGGAGGGTTTTGAAGCATTTTGGAACAGCGGTTTTGATCTAGGCTATGGAACCAAACCATGTGCCTCTCAGAAATTTTTAAGTCAGAAAAGAGCCATTCCAAAGCCTAGATCAAAACCGCTGTTCAAAAATGCTTCAAAACCCTCCGTCAAGAGGACTTCGAAAAGACGATCCTTGTGAAGTGGGCAGAACGGCTGAAGCTTTGTGTTCAAAGTGGTGAAAAATACTTCGAAAAACAGCCAAATGTTGAGTCATCCGTGTCATCCGATGAAGAAACTTGAAGTTCGTCAATTTCTGTAAGATTTTGTAAGTTTTTTCAATAAAAACACTCAATTCTCATTTAACTTTTTTTCCCTTGATAAACATATTTGTAGCTAAAAATCCTGGAGGCGGTCACGCTACATGTCATTTTCAAAACCCTGTATCTCTGTCATTTTTTAAGCTAGAGAGTTGTTCTTGGTCTTGTTTTATTAGTAATTACGTCTACTTTAAACACACATAAACTGCAAATCGATAGCTGCTTTCGTTTGCTCAAAATGCGGAAGTGCGCAAAACTTTTTGAACACCCTGTGTAAATCTCAGAGAAAAGAGAAATCATAATAATAAAGTTTGAGAGTACGTAGGTGTGGTTTTTATTTATTTGCACACAGTTCCTTCCTGCATGAATAAATCCATTGGTAAAGTACTCCCCCAAAATTTTCCTTCCTGACACCCTCCTCTATTCAGTAGATAGGAGGGATTTTTGTATTGGTGGCATGGCTTTGTACAGAAGAAGCCTTTTTTAAGACCAAGTTTGGAATGTTCCTGTGGTATTGCTTTTTTTCATTATCATGTTAAACAACAAGTTGATAATGTTCACTGTTTCTTTATTTGTCCTTCCAAGACAAAAGGTCCCAGTGGGACTTTTTTATCACATTGTTTGAATTAGCGACGTTCATGCGGGTTCTCAATAGAGCTAATTGTAGAGTATTAGTTACGTACATAATTTATAGGCGGTCCTGTCTTCGCCGCAATGGATAGAAACCGAGTTTAAATGCATTTAAATTTTGCTGTTTTAGTGCATATTGTTTTGACGTGGTAGGCACAGTTACACTAAAGCATACTTGCAAGGAACGTGTCTATGTTAAATGCATTGAAATACTTCTTCTCATGAGTGAAGAAAAGAGGAGGGAGAATCCATTTGGCCATTAGTTGAGCTTCAGTTGGATTGAAAAAAAAAGCTCTGGTTCAATAATGAAGTGATGTATTTACAAAAAAAGGGGAAAAATGTTCAACTATGACATTTCCTCTTTTCATCAATAAATTTATAAAAACATTCATAATACAAATAAGAATATATAACTTGTTTCTAATGACACATTTCATAATTACAGGAAATATACAAAACAATTCTTTTTTAGTATCAATTACGCCTAAGTTATTGAACTATAAATATTAAAAAAATTAAAACACGCTTACAATGCAATATTTACCTCAGTGTTAGGTGAGAAGGATTTAACATGATTCTCTCGGACATTGCACAAACAGTGAAAACACTATAACAAGACTTTGTACCTTGATTGATTCAATCCCCAGAAATCAATCAAAAATTTCAATCGAAAGATTATTTAAATATTTATCTCTGACCTGTCATTCTTGCCAGCTAAACAAAATGACGTTGAATGATAAGGAATAAAAAAAACTTCATCATTTACAATGGAAAATTCGAAGGAAAATTGTACTTTTTGCATTATGGAACCACTATTTCTAGCTCATTTTTTAAACGACATACATTCCATTATGTTACCCATGCAGATAGGTGCTTATACGGATGAGCTGGAAACAAGTAGTAGTTCCTCACTGCAAAATGAAGTCAAATTCATGTGCTTCAATATTTATCCACTATTTAAAGTCATTAGGACAACAACCGTGTAATTTCATTTGTTTGTCTGTTGCATTCTGCATACATGTCTCTAATGCTAGTGATTTTTTCCCCAGGCGCCTGCACAGAAGCTGGTTGTTTTGGCAACAATACTTTCCCTCAATCCTCATATGTTCACTCTTTCGATACATAAGTTAAAAATTAGAACAAAAATGTTCGCTACTTGAAATAATCGATCTCTATACTAATGCACTTAGGGCAGAGCCTAGTGTGGAATTTTGTTATTTCAAGAATGAAGTACCTGTCTTTCTCTAATATGGGGCATGAGTGCGCTAAGAACCTTTGCTTCGTGGATAGATCAGGAGGGCAGCATTATTCATATGAGTAATCTCTGTAGCGAACAACTGGGAAAGCTAGAGGCACAGTCTTCCGCAGTGAAAAAAAATTTAAGAGAAATCAGGGCATCATGAATACATTGACATTTAACTCATTATGACTTTCAACAGGTGGAACAGTTGACATGCCATTTCATTACAAAAACTAGAGGGTACTCTTCAAGAAGCCAACTTGATTCTCTTGTGTTGGCGATGACAGTCCCTGATGCAGATAAAAGCTATTAAGAATGTATCCATGCACTTGGCTTTGTTATGTTGAACACTACCTGACTAATTTCTAACTTAATCTTGATTTTAAGCTTTACATTGAAGTACATACAAACTACAGTTTGAATACAGAAGCTAAAAACAGGTTTGGAATTGAAACGGAATTGATAAATTCAAAACGCTACCAAGGAGTTCAAAAAAGCCTCAGTTTTCAAAAATATGCTACGACATGACATAATTGTTCAACTTGATAATCAAGAGCTAAGAAAAATCATGCTGGTTGCCAGAATAAAACGATTTTTTGGAAAATTTTGAGGTGATGAACCTAAATACTCAAAGGCCAAAAGTCAACAAAACATGACGTTGGCTCGTTTCCTTCTAAGGCTCAATGCTCTGTTTTGACGAAGATGCAGAACCTGTCACGCCCACTTTTGTCAAATTGTCCAGAAACTGATTAATCAAATATAAAAAGGTTGTGCAAATCTTCAAAAGAGCACTGACATAAGAGGAATTAGCAAAGGTAAACTACTCCATCTACAGGTATTTTAAACTTGCTATCAATATGCCTTCTTTGATCCTTTCATTTGCCTTTCCATAAAAAACTACACAAACTTAAATTTCTGTCAGTCAAGAAACACATTTATTCACAGGAAAGATGTTGGAAGTGTTGGTTACAATTCACAAAAAAATATGATAATAAAATAACAATTGTCATAACAAATAATAATACTGATTCACAAAAACATGAGCAGCACCAGACTGTTGAGAGAAATCACCAGACTGGCCTCATAAGGAAATACCAGTTGATTTCAAACTAAAATTACGTAAAACAGTTACAAAAAAGATAGTTTGATCCACTTTCCAATCCTCTTTCATTTTTCGCCTCTTCTGTTTCCAAGAGGACTTAATTCAAAGGAGCAAAATAATTGTCACGCACATACAATCGTGCACAATGTGTTTACTACCGATAATTGTCAGTAAAATCAAAAATTTAACTAAACAATCCATGAACGTCTTTTTTTAGGACTTTAAAGTTATCTTTACTACATTAATTCAAGAATGGTAATAGTAGTACTGGCCCTGATTTCTAAAAATAAAAAAAATTTAATGATGTATTACACTGTTTTTAACGAGTCCGTAAAGGCTGACCCTCTTGAATCTGTCAATCATACATAGCTAAAACGGCACATAGAATTCTGGTTGTTTGCTTCAAACGTTTATTAGTAACTGACTATGGAACGGCATCCTTCGATAAGTGGAAGCTCAAGCTCTACACTGGACTCCGGATTATTTGGATTCATGGGGACCAAGCCGACCCGGATTATAAAAAAATCTAGATACTCCACAGAGAAAATAATTAATTCTCAATTACATACGAAAATTAATGAATTAGAGCTTATAACGTGTTTGAAAGGATTATTGTATCTTAATAAAATGTATTCCTCTACATTGGTTGTGAACACACAACACCACCACGACCACTTGTTCAGTCGATTTGCATAAACCAGAGTTCGTATCAAACAATCGGATGTCTATTGTATTATGCTTATCATGCCTTCTTTCCAATTTAAGATCTTTTTTTTAAACGGCTTTATTTCAGGGCACCACAATGGCTTAGAATGAAAAATCATTTGTACCATGACTTGCGGCAATTAAAAGTTTCTATTTGTTAACATTAGCTCAAACAGAATTGATGCGCATGGCTAATGCTTTAAAAGAGAGAGATTTTATCTGAACATCATTAACCTCACTTATTTTTATATAACTTTAAAAACGATTTCATCAATAATTGCAGACTTAATAGCCAACGGAATACATGTGAAGCGAAAAAGCATTGAAATTTCCTCTTTTGTCAAAGTACATAGAAAAAATAAAGTACGTACATCAAATTGCTTGAATTTTCATCATCCAACTTCCATGATAATTTCTTGCTTCTTTCTTTCATAAATTATTGAAAAACTTGATAGAGATTATTTCATGTATTATAAGGCAACAAGGCAAATTGAACCTTATATAATTTTTTCTGCTTTGTTGTCTCCAAAATTACATTAAAACTTTGTTTCTTCTGCTTTTGGAAACGTTGCATCACAAATAAGACAGAAAAAAGAATTCACTATAATTTTTAAAAACAAATTTACTTATTAGCTGGTAGTTTAGATTTACTAAAGGCAGAGATATGTAAGCCAAGTTTCTCCTGCGTTTCTTCATTTCATCGCCCTCATGACATATGGACATAACTACTTTTTGCGATGAGCCCTGTAGTCCATAGAACTGAATGCTTGCCCGGGCTCATCTCAGTGTGTACATGCACCTTTTTGTCAACCGAACGCCAATTTATTACACTTCATAGTGATTCATCGCAGTAGTTTGGCTTCTTGATCAAACTATATCCTATCTTCTAAGCTTTGTGGGTTGGAGAGCTAGAATTTTTACGGGATAAACAAACCGGTTTTGATACAAGGTATCTCAATAAGAAGTGGTTGATATTCAAACATACCCTAGTAAATTTTTAGCTAAGATTTGCAATAAATTTGCAGATATTACCATGGGCAAAAAGTTCACAAATCAATGAAGTGGTGATAAACGATAAAATAAAAGAAAAATAAAATAACATTTATGCTGAAACAATCGTGGAGCAAGAAATAGGAAAGTTCTTGCTTGTACATAGAATGCACTAGAAGTTACATACAAAACTCAGCATGGATATTTGATCGAATAATTTAAAAATAGGACTTGAATATTAAAATATGCACAGGGGTAGGTACTAATAAAAGTAGAAATTCGATAGAATAAAATGTTTTGTATAACAATGATTAGCCCTATTTTGAGCTTCACTACCTACTGGGTTAGTGAGAACACAGATCTTTTACAATGGGCAGCAGCCATACATTTCATAACGATCAGATCAGTCAGTAAAATGACAGGGTAATCTTCGTCACTTGCAACAGTCAAAATAGTAAAATTTAATTATTTGCAACGGGTAAATTTCAGATACAGTTTTTACTCTTTTTGTCTAGCGGCAGTCTTGATACAGTGACCGGGTCTTGTGTTCAGGCACCATCTTTTATCTACAGTATCATGCAAATCTTTCTATAATGGTAATAAAACTTAATGTGATATCTAAAAATCTAGAGGGGAAACCTCAATTAAGAGCTATTGAGCCTTTTACTAACAACAGCTAGGGAACATTGTCCCAAAAAAATAATCAACAAAATTTTCAGCACAATTGTGCACGAATTAATTTAGGTGGGTACTGATTCTTCATTTCAAGATGAGATTCATGGGCTTGTTAAAGTTACAGCGCTTCTTTGGAGGGCACCCATATTGTTGGGCCACTATGTTCATTGATGACCTCTTTTATCTTGCCGTAGATTTCCTCAGGTGTGTCCCCTTGAACGATTGCTGAAAATAATTTAATAACATTTGTTATTTTAAATAGTATTCATTATGCCTTGATGTAATGTCTTGATGAAGGTCTACAATACCTTCATCTTAGAGTTTAAAAACTACCAGGATACTGTGAAAGCAAGATCTAATGTGCTTTCATGCCTGAATTTGAATTGGCAAAAATCAAATTCTTGTTCAGCGAGGGGCACTTCTCTGATCTAAAAATTAACGCTCCTTCGCTAAGCACTACCTAAGGGTACTAATTTAGTTTCCTTAAAAAGATAACTCTAAACACGCTTAACAATCCAAGTGCCAAAATCCAAGTTTTCAGAAAAACGAGGAATGCAATGCCATACAGCATGCACTCAGTCTTTTAAGCCCAATAAAATTTGGACCCTACAGAAAAATATCTCTTTATTAACAAAACTACAATTGCAAGTGCATTAGCATATTGTAAAACTGAAACTGGGGTACTGCGATGCTGCTGGGATTGTACAATTACTTTTACACATTAATGAATATGAACTGCTTTCAAAACTTCGAAAGTGCATACCTAAACGTCTGCTTCTAGGGTTACAATGATTTTTTATCGGCTTATTTTTTATTTTAGCAAAATCACTTGACGGTTATGTGCAAAGCATTTCTAAGGGCTAATCATAAAAGTTTATCAAATTTCCATAAAATGTTCAGAATGTTCACATAGTGCTTTAAAACCTTAAAAAACGATTGAAATTTCGTGTAGGCCTAATTTTGGTTGTCTAAATTTAGTTTGCACACCTGAGAAATGACAGAAAAAGATGAAAAAATGTGTTAGTTATAATGATGCGTACATTGAGAAGCAGGCTCAAATCAACTTCGTACTTTTTGGTGAGGAATAAATTCTTGTTAGACCCTGTGGGCGGCAACTTTGCTCCCTCCATTTAAACCCTCATAACTACGTAAATTTTTGAGCAAACAAGATGATTTGGTCTCAATAAGCCTGTTGCTAACTTCAGCTAGAGCAAAAAGAAGAAATGTTTTTTAAAGAAAATTGCTCTAGAATCACGATGAATGCACCAGGAAAGTCTGAAATGCACTTCTAAATGCACAATCTGTGTAAAAAATATGTGTTTTTTTAAAGCTTCCCACTTGAAAAATGATACTGCAGCACAGGTGAACGTTTTGTAAGAGGTGTCGTTCCATCCAACCCTTGCGCACCGGAATGCTACACAATAATTAACACAGCTAACACTTTCAAATCAGGAGGAAGCACCATGGTCTTTCTCAGGGAAAGAAAAATGTAAATGTAAACATGCCAGTTGATATAATCCTGTCTCGCTGCGTGTATTTAGGCATGTTGGCGTTTTAGTGTCGTTACTGTGTGGCTTCCTGGTGTGCACGGGTTGGATGGAACGACACCTTACAAAATGTTCACCAGTGCTGCAGTATAGTTTTTGAAGTGGAAAGCTTAGAAAACCGCATATTTTTTACACAAATTTTGCACTTAGAGGAGTATTTCAGACTTTCCCGATGTGTTCATAGTGATTTTAGAGCAATTTTCTATAGCAAACAACTCTTCTTTTCGCTCTAGCTGAAGTTTGGCCCATAGACCAAGAATGATGAAAGGTTTTAAATGAGATCAAAATTAGCTCAATAAAAAAAAAAAAAAAAAAAAAAAAAAAAAAAAAAAAAAAAAAACAGCATTAGCCCTGAAAGTTTTGGAATGCCCTATGTGAAGTGTAATATTATTATTTGCCAGATACCTGTGAAATACGGCTTAAATTCAGATTCAATTTTAGCGGCTCTGTTGAACGTTTTGGTCGCCTGGTCCTCTGTTATCCTCTTGTTCATTTCCCTGAAAATTGATTCAAGAGATATTACAAAAATGAGACCAAAGATAAAATAAAAAATAAAAATAAGATCAAATAAACTACCATGAAAGTTCTTCTTAGGTAATAAAGTTGATGCACAGTCAGGGAGGATGGAAAAATTATTTTTCACCCAATAAAAGAGCTCAACAAGACCACATCTTTTGCCAAGTACAGTTAAATCAGTTTCATATCAGTTTGTATCTAATCAGTTGCTCATAGAGAATGCAAAATAAAAGAAAGGGTATGATGAGAGTGAAAGAAGCTGATTGAAGGACCCTAATCCTGTAGCTCTCTTTGCAGGTTTTTCCTTAAAATCAAGGAATATCTTCATTAAATTTTCCTTTCTTTTTACAGGAGGATAAGGTAAAAATTGAGAAGGTATCTCACTAAATACTTACATAATAGATTCTATTGACTTAGGTTTGATGAATACAGCGATTGGGTGAAGTTGGGCAACCATTAGTCGTTTGATCGCATTACCACTAACATCTAATATGCAATGCTTGCCCTGAAATAATTGGAACGAATTATACGATTAGCTGAAAAAATACATGATGGTCAAAATACTTTCACAGATAGATGAAAAACATGCTGCAAAAACGGAAAACTCTTTCTTGACACGGTCAGCAATTGCTATTACATACTGAATTTTTCTTTAAAATAATTGACAATGGCTATTCAGCATTCACATTACAGACATCGCTGATGAAGGAGAGTTAAATGAAAAGTAAGAGTGTACCTTTTTTGTCACTTCAAAATCTTTACGAGGGGTAAAAAAAAATTAAGTTTTTGGCCAAAAATTGATTTGTTTTTTGACGTCCTTGATAAATAAATGGACTTGTGAGTTTTTTTCTCATGAAAATCATGCAGTTACTATTTCATTTTTGAGAAAAAAATAGTAATACATAGGGTGTCCCAAAAGTACTGCCCCTTTTTCCGCAGAGGGCGAAAGAATGCAGATATCAAAATGCGGTTTGTATGAGGTTATAGTCCTAGTAATTACCTATAAAACAAGACCAAGTTGAGCTCTGTAGCTTAAAATTTGACCGAGATACAGCATTTTGAAAGTGACGTGTCAAGGTGCCGCCTACGAGATTTTCAACATTTTTTTACGGACGAACCCTAGGACGAACAGACACGACGCATCTGCAGGTGGTCCTTTAAGATCCGGTGCAATGAATTTTTTGAGATGTCAAGCAACACCTGAAACTTACGCAAGGATAAATGACTGTCTCCTCGAACAACAGCAGCAACGGTACCGATTAATTCGTCTGTGGTGGAGGTAGACGGTCGGCCCGGTTTCGCGGGACTTTCCGTCGATTCGCGGCCGCCAGAAAAAGATTTAAACCAACGACCAATGCTACTTCTGTCCAAACAGTCGTCTTTATACACGCCTTTCATTTCATTAAAAGTGTTTTTTACTGACATTCCTCGACGAAAACAATAACGAATAACGTGGTGTTGTTCTTTTCTTAATTCGGTACTTATCGCGAAAGAAACTTCCAAAACGACAGAGGGATGAACTCAGATTGACGTGCCGGGAAAGCTTGACCAACTTGGATGGCACTAGCGGACACTTTCAATCCTGTCGTTGGTCTGCATTGGGGCGCTTACACGTTGCCAAATGCCGCCTAAAACACATTGTTGCCGTATGTTTCTGGCCGCTTCTTCTTCTTTTTAAAACCGTTTCATTCTTAAACTTGGTTTTTTCTTTCGTAAAAAATGTTGAAAATCTCGTAGGCGGCACCTTGACACGTCACTTTCAAAATGCTGTATCTCGGTCAAATTTTAAGCTACAGAGCTCAACTTGGTCTTGTTTTATAGGTAATTACTAGGACTATAACCTCACACAAACCGCATTTTGATATCTGCATTCTTTCGCCCTCTGCGGAAAAAGGGGCAGTACTTTTGGGACACCCTATGTATTGTTGCTAACTAAAATCCAATTACACCGTTAGAGAGGTCTCTTTTTCAAAATTTCAACAGTCTATTGATTTTTTTAATTTGAAGCAGCCGATTGTATACAAGTTGAATTTTATTGCAATCACATCAAGAAATTTCCCACCAACTCGGATGATTAGTTCCCCTGAATTTGTCTCTGCTATTTTTAAGCTCAAAATAACATGTAAATCATTAGAAAGGTCACATCCTCAGCTTTCTATCGATATATTATGTTTTGAATTGTGAGCAACTAGAAACCGGAAATTAAGTATTTTTCGATGCCAGGTCAAAAATAGAAAAAATGTAGGTGGCTCCTGCTAACTTCAATTCTTTGCTGCCAAAGTGCACTAAATTCCAGTTTGTTTGGGTCCTACCTAGTATTCTCTTGAAAAAAAAAAAAAAAAAAAAAAAAAAAAAAAACCATGGTGCCTCACTTGAACGAAGTCGCTTCATCATTGCAGTCAAGTCAGTTTTTCTATGTTCGAAACATTTTTTAATAACTTTAACATTGATTTCTATTTTTTAAAAAGTTGAAAATCTTAAATCTGATGGGTACAGAAGAAGTTTAGAATGACTGGTTAGGAGATGATATGGTGGATGTTTTGCAGCCATCTAAAAAACGAGACAATCTTCTAAGAAACACACTTTTAAGCCTCTAGAAAACTTTATTTTTAAAAATTTGACTGTCAAAAAAAATAGTGGGCGATGGAAAAAAAATATGGCCGTGTTTGGTTTTAGGCCAAGTTTCTTGAGAGGAGACCCAGTGACATCGAATGTTACCAAATTTCTTTGAATAATACATTTTTTCACAGAAGAATGGTTGTACTTATTCTCTTGAAAATCTCAGAAAATTGCCTCTGTGGCTTACAGAAGACGTATTTCGTTTGCAAGCGACACTTGCAACAATGTCATTTGGTTTGAGGTTGTTTCGTGTAATAGGGGCAGGACTTACTTTCACTCACAAAATTTTAAGGCCCTCAAAGCAACATTGCTTGGAAAATTGCAACATGCTCAGAAGCAAGTTGTTTTTGTGTCATTTTCTAAAGCAGCGCTAGAGAATACGGTTTCCAGTCGCAATCTTGAGCGTTGTTTTCTCATTGGTTGTTAAGAATTGAGAAAAAACAGGATACATTTTGTTGTTTTGAACAAAATACATTTATTACATTCCTAAAATTTTCAAGAGAATTGGTACAGCTGGTCACTTGTAAGAAACCAAATTGTTCGATATAATTTGGCAACAGCTGATGCCACTAGGTTCTCTCTCAAGAAACACCTTACCTTTGAAGGATTTGATCCTACTTTGCCCTGGACCTCTAAGAAAATCATAACCAAGCCACCGATGACTCGTGGATTGTCAGATTATATAAAATGGGCCTGTTGCATGCAAGAGATACATCCGTGCGAATAGACTTTTTAGAGGTTAAATGACACGAAAATTACGATGGTCACATTAAAAAAGTCTGAAATACACTCCTTACTGCGCAATTTGTGTTGTTAAGAACGCGCTTTTTCAAATTTCCCGCGTCTGGGGGCAGTTTTTTAACGGAAACAACTAACGGCAACTCGCGGCTATTTCCGGTCAACTAAAACTGACAGCATAACCTAAAAATCGGAGCTCGTGACATCGTGAAATGAAATGTAGAAGAATTGCGTTGGATATTTAAAAGTTGATCGATTTGGTTACCGCATAAAGCGTATATGGATCACAATAGGAGATCACGTTGGGTTTGTAAACAAACTGAAGGGAAAAATAACAACAACAACAACGACGACTCGGCATCTTCCGGAAATCACCGAGCCCGCCGTTTGCTCGTTTCCGGTGATTAGAAAACTGCCCCCAAACGCGGGAAATTTGAAAAAGCGCGTTCCTAACAACGCAAATTGCGCAGTTAGGAGTGTATTTCAGACTTTCTTAATGTGACCATCGTAATTTTCGTGTCATTTAACCTCTAAAAAGTCTATTCGCGCGGCTGTATCTCTTGCATGCAACAGGCCCATTGATTTTGGTGGGTTGCAAGAGAAAAAATTAATTTACAAAAAGATAACAGATGGGTACATACCTGTTCTGCGACCTCTCTGACAGAGGCTACTGAGGTGCCATAAAGATTATTATTATACTGCCCTGCTTCAATAAATAGGTGATTTTGTATGTCTCGCTCCATTTCTTCCCGCGAGTGAACGAAGTGGTAATCCCTGCCTTCCGTTTCGTAATCCCTCTTTTCCCTTGTTGTGTCTGTAACATATCATGCAATTATGAAAAACAATTTCAGGGGAGACCATCCATTTTAAATGACAGGTGAAAACATCAAAATAAAAATGAAAAGTCAAAGCTGTATTAGATACTTCTGAGGACTCCGATAAAATCTGTTTCACGCTAAAGTTATTGCTTAACCACCTCTGGCAAGTGCAAAAGTGAATAGAAGCTTGTACCCTTTAAAATAAGCTGACACATGTTTCAGTGTTTTTTGAAATTCAAAAGCGTACTCAAGATATTCAAACTGGCTCATTTCTTCTGAAACATCCTGCACATTGTGCTGTGAGGGAAAATACAGTAATTTTTGCTACTTAAAATAGAAAATACATAAATAAAGAAGAAAAAATTATCAAAAATGATTATTCCTTTTTGTAAAAAACTGGGGACATTTTAAGAAAGCTCATAAAATACAATGTGATTTGGAAGTAAGAAATTATTACTTATGGGAGAAAGATCATTTTCTCCTCCGATTGTGGCCTTGTACTTGGAACACCACAGTTCAGTTCTTTTACACTCAGCTCTTAGTCTTGTTTTTTTTCAAAAAAATCTTTTTGATGGAGCTTCGGTAGAAAGTTTTTTTTTTTTAAAAAACCTTCTACATCTCTCAATAAAAAAAATTTAACTAAGAGGATTTTCAAGAGGTCTACAGAGTATAAAAAATACAGTAAGGTTACGACAGAAATGAAAAATTAAATGATACTTACGTGGAACACAGGAGCCGAATTTGTCTGGATATTCATTGATCAAATCGTCATTGATTCTATCCTTCAGGGGTCCCAGGATGACCACAGGCCGCGCGTAGCTGATTTGCACTTGGGTGACAGGCTCGTAAGATAATATGGCTTCTTCAGTGCCTTTACAATATACAGTTTTTTCATTTAAAACAGTGATTTAATAAAAGGGAAAAAGGAATGGGGCGAGAAAGAATTGAGCAGCGCTGAGCAAACAAACTTTCAACAAAATTTTGAGAAAGCAAATAAGTCAACACATACTTTGAAATGAGAAATTGCCATTCAAAATCACTTTGATGAATGTTGTTTGAATATGGTACCGCAAAAAAATCAAACATGGAAAAAGAGAGGAAATTCTGAAGAGAAAGATAGTTTCAGACCTACCAGTGCTTAGAGAGACATGGGACAGCTACTCGAGGTATATTTAGGTTCATGCCTTTTTTTTGCTACTGTAGCTACAAACTGAAATCACCGAAATCCCTAGTCAAATCATTTTTTGTGTTGTAAGGTAAGTATATTATGGTATTTAGGTAAGTGATACATTTCAAGGGTTTAAGGAATGGATAAAATCTTTTATGATAGTAGTAAATATTATGAATATTTTTCCTACTTTTTTCCACTCTTCAAATTAGCCTCAAGGCCACTGAATTCACAGTGGTGGTTTTGCTTACTGTCTTCAAGTTTTGCCTGCATGTCAATATTAGGTAAGATATTTTGACCTTGCTCGCAACAGAGCAGTTCCTAGTTTCCGTTTTTCCTCGTATATTTGCATATTTCTGTCAAGATCAAGACTCAGCAGAAAATGGTTTAACATAAATTTAAACTCCCACCAAGTATTTATTTCAAAAGCAAGTCACTGTCAGGTACTTCAATTGCAAGATCAACTTGCAACTGAGGCACAGAGGAGGTGACGCATTCTGACAAAAAATTCTTCTCAGGAAGGAACGTAAAAATATGGAAAAACTGAGGGGTGTGCAGAATGAACTATGACTGTTTTGCATACACAATGAAAACATTGAGGGGATCATAGCATAACTTCAGCATTCAGAACTGGGTGATATTTAGATGTATTCTGAACAACACAAACAATGGACAAGTGACTTCTCATGAGTGAGAATCTGTATTAGTAAAATGTAATTGAGGGTAAGGTGTTTAAAAAATATGCTGATATGAAGACTAAAATTCATTGAGTTCAACTTCCATTTGCCTCTCCGAAAAAAAAAAAAATAGCACTTGTAGGAACACAGCATAAACGAAGGTATTCTATCAAATAATTGATAAGTACTTGTCAATCTACTTCCGATATTATGATTCTGAGTCCTGATCAAAAGGCATGAATATTTGTGCTATTTTTAAACCAAAAAAAAATTTATTTATGCATTCGCCATGAATTGATTTTTATCTATAACATGTTTTTCAAGCTAAAAATGCATGTAAAAAAACTATCTGCAGGCACAGGTCAACATCATCAAATTACGCTGAAGCTTGGTACTGGGACCTTTTTTGGTCGAAAGGGGAAAATATAAGAGGTTAGGCCGAAAAAAGTCTTGTTACAACACTTTCTCATGTTTGATTGGGTCACTGTATTATTTTTGTAAGTGTATATACAGAACATAATTTAGTTTTAACTGGCTCCAGGGATACTCAACAAAATCTAGTTTAATTAGGCGACCTTTTCCAACAAATTTTACTGCTAGATCACCTATGAGATGTATTCGCTCACAACTTTAACTAAAATGAGAATTTTACCTTATTGCTCTCTAATCACCGGTATTTAAAATTCATCTAAATGATTAAACCTTAAATGAAACCTCCTTTTCTACTGTGTAAAAAGGACAACTGAGGTATGTTCGGGCATATTGTTCATTCAGAGTAACACAAGTGTAAACAAATGTTAGATTAGAGCAAGTCTCATGAGGATCATATACAAAGCGAGATATCACACCCAAGGGTAAACAGGTGCAAGATAATTGGACGAGGACAAACTTTAGGATCAACTAGATTTACTCTAGGGAACCATCACTACTAACTTTTTGCTGACTAAAGTTTACACTTGATTATTTACTGTCAGTTAGGTGACACAATACGACAAATATTCCTACTCTCTCTTTCCTGACGTTCACTTAGCATGGTAAATGGCACATTTCTGAGATGAATCTTTCTCCTGAGAGTAAATCAAGAAAGTTTAAACTTTAGATCAGAGCACTCCTACAGACTAACGCACATACTATACAAATTAAAATGTTGGTAACATGCAAAAGAGGCTATTTGCACACTGCAACCTGGGGTTCTACCTAATTTCCGGAAGCGTTTTAATTGCAAATTTTTTATTCAGTTATTGATAAAAATTACAGTTCATCTAGGAGAATGATGAGGTATCATCGCTTTGTACATGAATAAAGGAGTACACACAAGCACCTGCACACACACACACACACCCTCACACTGAAAAAATAACGATTTTCTTGATGACTAAAATAGCTTTTCGGAAGAATTAGGCCGAAAAAAGGAAAAGGAAGTCTAGAGAAATAGATGAAGTGAGATATTTTGGTACACATGGGCAATGCAACTTGATTATTTTGTAAGTTGGAGCTTGAAAGGAAAGAAAACAAAGAATCAGTCTTTTCAGTTAATTTGATAGAAAAGATGGGATTGCTATTATCTTACTGCAATGGGACAGGTGATCTATCATCTTAACTCCTGTACTTCCTTGCGATGCTAAAATGAAGACAGCAGATCTTCTGTTGCATTCTAAAAGTGCGTAAACTTAACTGGTATGGTATCTATAATTGCAAATGTAATAAAATGATCTGGCTAACCTAATAAATCAGAGTTTAAAAATAAACATATAGAATGAGGTAGACAAGCTACAATCCTATTCTCAGTTAAAGAAAAAATTGAGTGCAACAGGAAAGGCATGTAAAATTTAACGTTTTCATATTGTGTAATCTTTTCCGCAAAGTGTTTCAAACAGACTCCAACTGATTTTTTTGATTAAGCCTTTTGCAGATTTTTACCTCAGGCTTGTTGGTCTTTTCCAGCTATAAAATGCACTAACATATTTAAAAATAACAAAACGTATTAGTTTGAACACTTCAGAGAATACGGCCGTAACAGAATAAGAAAATGAAAATGAAATAAAGAACGAATAAATGATAAACATAAGATAGATTTAGGAAGCCATCTGCAGTCTGAATTTTATATCTGCTTTTGGTAACCACTACCTATACACACAATAAGAATGCTCAAAAATGACTCCGGCTGTACTTGACTTGACTAAAATCTGTAAAGAGTTTTGCTTTTTGGTGGAATTCACATTCAACCATTGCTCAAAAAGAGGAAAAGGCGTCTTCCCCCACCCCCCCCCTTTTTTTCGTTTAAAAAAGAGCAAAAAAATCAATTTCAGGTGCAAAATTGTTTTGTTATTTTTAAACCTATTTTTAGATAATACATGAATTATCAAAGTCTTCTTTTTCAACTTTTTACAGGCATTTTACCCATGTGCTATCATCAAAATAGTGACAGTTTGCTTACTGTTACAAAATTGATGGTCATATAAAAGACAACAAAAAAATTGTAGAGGACAAAACAAAAGTTCGGATTTCACAAGTAAAAAACTGGATAAAAGTAATTTTAGAAGCACAGAGAGGACAAATTTTATTCAATGATCTGTGATAGGATGGTGAGGTTACTGCCCTCATTTTTATTTTAAATTTTTGTTTACCCCTTTCCGAATTTTTCCTGAGAGGCTCATTTGTTCTTACCCTGAGGTAAATGAAAAATTGAAAAAGATTCGTTTCTAAAAACTAATATACCTTACACAAGTTTCCATGATAATTCGTGTAAAAATTTACCAGAACAGGTTTTAACTCAAAATTTCCAAATCTTGAAACCCTTTCCACCATTTATTTCTTTTTTAATCATCATTTGAAATATGTGTGTCAATTTGATACAAAAAACCTCCCATTAATCATCATTGCAAGTGGATAGCTCGATAAAATGGAGGTCTGAAAGGTAGCAATTATTCAGCTTTCAGTGAGATCTGTCCCTTCTGCAATTTTTATAAAGATGTGCTATTAGATTGATAGCTATCAAAATGTTTTACACTGGGACCAGCATTCTAACGGGAATCTAGAAAGAGGGAAAAATAAGCATGGGGAGGGGTATTAATGTTAACTTCATTCGCATTGGGTATCAAAAATGCACATAGAAAAAGCCAGAGATGTGCATTTACACGTAGCACCATGATAGTTTTGTACAACTTTTTTTAGGGTAAAGGACTTATCTGTAAATTACTCATTTTCAACGCATGGTGGCCAGAAAAATAAATAGCACAACTTTTCTCTCTACTACTTCTCGCCATGTTTTTCAACAATACATATTGAGCTCGGTTTTCCATTTAATATCAAGCAAAACAAAAAACTTACTGGCAGAAGTAAGAGCGGCAAATGACGCAAAAATTTGAGAAGGATTATGGAGTTCAAGGTGTCAAAAAGATGTTAAAACCAGTTTGAAGAGAAAATAATTTGGCGCCTCACGATAAAAGAGGAAAAAAAGAGAGGTAGGGAGTATTCATTTGCATTGGAATTGTTGTTACCCTCTTTTCCAGCGAGATTTTTCCCCGAATTTCTACAAATATAGAGATGGACTAAGCATCTAATTTTTTCTTCAATGACTCAAATCTTTACAGTTCAACCGTGCTTTTCAAAATTGTTAATTTTTCGAAACTTCAATAATTTATGGCTTTCTAAGAACAGTATTTTGAAAAAAAGTAAAAAGTTCCACTCATGAGCAAGGAGAATTCTCACTGCAAAACATTTAATGGAGCATAAAATTCATGTAAAGATTGTTAGGTATTTAGCATATTACAAGGTACAAAGAAATTATATTCTCAGAATTATGAATACCTTGTTTATATTAAATAATTTGATAGCAAAAAAAGAACATTTTCAAGCCTCTTATGTGTGTATCCTGCTGGCATAATAAACTGAGAGTTGATCAAACATGAAGAAAATGGCAGATTTTTAGCTTTCGTTTTCACTGCTTAATGTCAGTTTATTGTGGGATCCTTGCATCCGTGTAAAAGTCACAGACAAAGAACCAAAACTATATTCCTGGCAAGGACTTCAAATTCTCCAAAATAATAACTGATCTTCAGCCTGATGGTTTTTGTTTCTGACACTGGGTTACTGAACTTCACAGGGAAAAACCAACTTCACAAGATTGAATCAAGTCCATGCAACATTAACGGAGGACAATATGCTCAAATAAACTCTACACTGCATGCCTAACTAAAAAGTAAACTGGAAGGAAAACAGTACAAAAAATTATATAGGGGCAGGATCAACTACTCAATATTGCTACAACAGGGTTCCTCAACCAAGAATCTAGATTTTCAAAGATAAACTCAACTTTGGAAATAGCATCCAATATAGTCCAGGAAAGATGATAGATTACACTTGACTTCCAATTAAAAATAATGTCATCTAATTCAAACAAACATTCATTAATCTTTAAAAATGAATACTTTTCTTCTATACAACTTCCAGGGTAAGAGGGTTTAATGTTAGGCTTTCATTTGCTTTAGAGACTTTCAAATTAAGGATCAAACCCAGAGAATTTTAAAGTTAGCTAATTTTCCTATTCATATTTACCCATCTTAATGTTGTTGGCATTGAAAGATGAGACACAAAATCACTGAATGGTGAATCTTTTGATCAATGAGTACATATTTCATCAGAAAATAAAGAAATGATTAAATAATATCCTTGAAATCAACCAGCTAAGGAATTGCCTGCACATTCATTGGGTAAAATTTAAGAGGAGGGATCCTTAGATTGGATGAGGAAATTCCATAGTATTTGTCTGACTTTGAAATTGGTTGAGAAACTCCTAACTATGCAACGCAACTAACAGGGCTCAGTTAGTTTTGCCAAGCAGACGTAGTAGATGGTTAGCGCTTAACACAACAGAATCGAATATCAAACTGCAGAGTAGCTTACCAACAAGGAGCTCAATTATGCTAATGCTGCTTAAACTAATACCTTCAGAGCTGGGATCTTCGCTCGTGTAGCATAACATGAATGCTGCAACAAAAAAACAAAAACGAACATTTACTACTTACAAGAAAAAAGGATGAGATATGAGATGGACTGATTGTAGGAGCAGGTAATTTTTACTTTGATAGATCAAAAGGAAAGGAGAAACTGATTTATTTTTCATGAGATTTTCTCATGAAGAGCATTCTACGGAGGAGGGCAGGGTCCATCTCCTTTAAAGCTCATACATATACGCTCACAAACAGATGCTCAGATACTATCCTGAATCTTTATTAGAGAGTATTTTTCCATAATTCGTGGGCTATCTGATGAATGGCTCCTGGATAAGGGTTTAAATAGAAAAACTGATTGAAAGGACCAAGTTTTGAAGAGCCTGTCAAAATGAAACTCACTCACAGCAAAGAAAGGAAGCAACTTGGACAACAGAATAAGCACAATGTGTGAATTTGGTGTAATACATTCCAAAGATAAATGCAAAACAAAAAAGCAACATAAAAACATTTTTCAAAGCCTTGAGGTAAGAGTCAAAAACAGAGTTTGAGCAATGAAAACAGCAGCAAATAAGAACGCAGATGCTTGAGTGATATTTTGAGAGGAAGCCACTCTGATCTCGAATAGTATCTGTACGATGCAGAAAAGAATGAGAAAAAAAGAAGAAGAAAGAGACTCAACGCCTTTTTTATTATGACCAAAAAAAAGCAAAGAGATAGAGAGGGGGCAGAGAGAGAAGTGGTGGGAGGGAAGGGGGAGAATGTCTGAGTGAAGAGAAATGTCTCATAAAATAATAGGATCAATCAAGCATGAAAAAACAGACATCATGCGAGAGGCAAACAACAAGAAAAAATTTTGAAAGATGGTCAAAGAGGGAAATCTCATAAATATGATCAACTGCAATGTAAAAAATAGACTTCATGCAAGAGTAAAGGCCGAGAACAAGAAAAAGATGAAGAAAAATGGTCAACTAGATTCTTTTTTAAACCTTGAAATGAAATTTGCATTTTGAAGATTTTGCGGCGATTCCTGCATACATGCGACCTGCCTTGTAATAGATGCATACAATCACTAATCACTCATTGTCATTCTCTAAAGAATGCGGCTGCAAAATAGTTCGTTGAAGAAACCAACACTGATTTTTTCAGGATCATGATATTGGACGACCGATCAAATAACAGGAAGGAATTCACCTACCTAGGTACCTCAGATGGGCTGCATAACAATAACATTAACATGCACTCACCCATCACCCATCCCTCGAACCGTTACATATTTTATGTTTCCAAGGCCTCAGAGGGACAAAGTGTCAAGCATAGAGTCACAAAGTATTAAGAGGATTAGATTACATTGGTGTCGAAAAAATTGTAATTTTGCTTATATAATTTATGGACCATTTTCGAATGATACGGAAGCTGCCTTAATGCAATCGACAAACTTTTTAAAAATACTTTATTCTGTATCTGCTAATGCTTGCAGAAAATGAGAGATGGGAGGAGGAGGATAGGAAATTAAAAGTGGAAACAACAAAGATCTTGCTTCCTGCCGCATGAATTACTGTGGGAATGCATCCGTATGCAACCAAAAGAGCAAGTTGTGCAATGAGCCCTGAGCATGCACAACTGATTTCCACGATTTATTAGGATTGCCTGCCATGCATATTTTCATTAAAGAGGAAGACATAGGTTCGCCTGTAACCGAAAAATAGGAATTTTTAAACATCTGAAGGGCTTAAATTTAATTTTTGCTTTTATTCTGAGTGACAAATTATTTAGTTAACAATATTTTTAACACTGAGAAAGCATTAGTTGCTTCCGGTAATATCCGCGTCAGGTTGGATACTTCTGCAAAACATCCAATCCAACTCTCATCCAATACTGCTAAAAAATCGAGACTGGAAATCCAGCACTCCTAATTTGGTTTTAAAAAAAAATTAAAACATTGGTTCCTCCGCAGTCACTTTCAATTAAGCTGTGTAAAACAAGGGGAGAGAGAGAAAAAGAGAGAAAGAGAGAGAAAGGGAAAAAAAGAGCGAAGCCAAACATCTGACAAACTGCAACAGTGGACACTTACGCCGTACGCTTGAATCAGATCCTTCGAAAGACATAGGCAAATCTGAGCATGCGATAGAAAAATATACAGATACAAACATCAATATCACACTGGAGACACACACGAGCAATACAGATATCATTGTCCATAACTCCAAAAATTATATCTTGCAGTGGAAATATATGATTTTAGTGAAGATGATACACAGCAGAAAATCCCTGAGCCTTTCCAAGTCCAAAATTGTTGTAAATTTAAAAATTTAAAAATAAGTAATTTATTCACAAGTTCACTATGATACTAAAATTGTTTGTCATGCATGAAAGAATAGGATTACCAAGGTCCCCAAAATTGAAAATTGATTAAACACATATATTAAAAGGGATTTGCTGATGAGACATTCACAGCGGAATTTGAAAGTATGGTACTTGTTTCAGTGCAATATAATTTCACTTGAAAATAGGCTTTGTAGAAAAAAGGAATCCGACTGAAAAGAGAGGTCTGGTCAGTAATTTCACTTTTTCCTCAGAACATTTGATGAAAGACGATGTTTCAATTTATAAACAGGAAGGCCCTCAAACTTTTCATTAACCTGACTATTTCAGCGAACTAAAATATAATATTATTGCTGAATAATATTAATAATAATAAAATATTATTAATATTAATAATTACTATATATTATTAACTATTATATATTAACTATATTATATTATTAACTGTAATATAATATTATTCAGCTTTAAGCTGAATTTTTTACGCACGTTGGCTAAAAAACTCCAACATCTCATAATATTATTGATTATTTTGGTTCTGAGTCCCTCCTCACAAACAGTTGTGACAGCAGAATCGTGCTAACAAGGGGAACTTACGGACCTGCTGCCTCCGATTGGGCTGAATTTTTTTTTACAGACTCTATGGACCAATTCTAGAAGTCAATTTGAGCCGTTTTCCCAAATGCGCAACAGGAAGGGCGTAAAAAATTCCCAAAAGTTGCGTTTCCGGCGTGTGATTTGGTCGTGCGGCGCGTGGCAACACTGAAGCAGCCTCTTGTACGGCTTTATTGCTGCAGAGATTTCAGAATAATTTGGAGCCCTACTGCACAGGTGCTAGATCCATGGAAGTGAGATCCCGGGTTCGATCCTCGAGTGCAGTGTCTACTATTTATTTTCCGCATGATCACGTAACATTTTATTTTTAATTCTTTATCCGTATTTATAAATCAAGCAGTTCCGTCAATATCCCCCCCCTTATTTTATGTACATTTTCCCCCGATATTTATTCATATTGACCACCAATAACCGTATGAAAATTCATTGACATAAATTCATGAATTAAAAAGCAAAGGGCCAAAATAATGTGTTCCTTGGCGGCCCTTGCATGCACATGGGTTTGGGGTTGCTCTTCGATTTCTTTAAACATTACATATTTTTCCCGGAAAACATTGGGAGATAATGTAGTAACAAATAAGGTTTTCTTTTGCTTTTTAATTCATTAATTTATGTCAATGAAGTTTCATACGGTTATTGGCGGTCAGTGTGAGTAAATGGGGGGGGGGGGGGTGTACGTAAATTGAGGGGGGGGGGGGATAGTGATCGGAACTGCTTGATTTATAAATACGGATGAAGAATTAAAAATAAAATGTTACGTGATCATACGGAAAATAAAAAGTAAACAATTCACCCGGGTATTGACCCTGGGATTTCTCTATCATGGAACCAGCACCTGTGCAGTAGGGCTCCAAATTACTCTGAAGTCTCTGCAGCGATAAAGCGGTACAAGAGGCTGCTTCAGTGTTGCCACGCGCCGTACGACCAAATCACACGCCGAAAACGCAACTTATGGGAATTTTTTACGCCCTTCCTATTGCGCATTCCAGGAAAACGGCTCAAATTGACCTCTAGAATGGGTCCATAGAGTCTGTAAAAAAAAATTCAGCCCCAACAGAGGCGGCAGGTCCGTAAGTTCCCCTTGTAAGTCATAGTTATAAGGATCGCACTTAGCAAAAAGGAACCAACGCGATTGCAGTGTTTTCAAAAATATGTAATTTCTCCTTTGTTTTCAATAATACTTAATAAATGTACAGTGTTAAAATTTTCATAATTATTCTCCTTGAAAATTTACAATTTTTTGGTGGGAAGCCAAAATTATTTGCTATTCTGCAAGATTTTTTAGATAATAATGAACAGGCAACATTTTTACAATACTTTGATCACGCTGGTTCCCTTTTGCTAAATGCGATCCACATGTATGCTATCTGAAACCGTTATCTGGCCATCTCTATTGAGTATAATTTATACTTAACTGAGTGATTAAAAGTGAAAATAACTCAAGAGATCAATTATTGACAAAGAAATGAGAGACGATCTTGACTTTAATCAATGTTATAAAAAAATTATGTAGTAAGTTTACCTTCTGCTGCCTAGAAGCTAACGACTTTAGGTTAGTTAAATTACCATGATTAGATGTGGTAAATGATGGAAAGGCAAGTTCATGACCTCCAGAAAACAACCTTAAAAGTTTGTCGATAGACTGAAAGACGGGGCTTCACTGAACCTCCTTTGTCTGTGCTACGCAAGAGGCTCGGACTGATATTTACATGAAATCGCTATCAGGGTTAAAAAAAGCAAAGAGAAGGCAAACTGACAGGAGACATGATGCAAAAATGCAAAAATATTAAAGAATACTTACGCTCTTGATCGGAGCCTTCTTCTGCCTTATCCTCATGTGACTTGAAGAATGGAAACCGCCTACTTAATGTGTAATTTTTTTTCTTCCTATCCAATGTTGATTGCTGCAACAATTGAAAAAAATTTAGAGGGTATTTTCAAAATGACTGAAGCGGAGATAAACCGTTCAATGGAAGAGGAGGAAGAAAAAAAATAAATAAAAAAACAAAATCACATGAGACATTAGAATTGTTCTGATACAGCCCACTAATTTTACTGATATATACTATTAATATTAATTATACACCAGTTCGGGTGAGGTTGCAAAACGCTTTCGATCATCTACCTAGATTGCTACAAGACTTAAAATGTCTATTAGTGAGGACATAAAACAACTTTTAGCTAAAAAGATATGCTTGACTGACTTTTCCAAGTTGCAGAAAAAAATCTGCGTTATGAGAATTATGGTACTGGACAAGGGAAAATTTTTCATGGTGCTTTTTGGCCTTCAGCGGAACCGTGTGATGACCGGCATTCTGTGCCACTTATCATCACTGATATGCACTGCCATTCAGAACTAACCACCTCCAGTGACGCTTGCACTACTTGCTATTGCATATAGCATCATATTCTCAAAGCCCCCCAAAAAAAAAAAAAAAAAAAAAAGACCAAATTTGTGAGGTCCCAAACATTAGTTAATTTCGGTTATATGCTACTTCATTTTGGTTCATACAACTCTGATTTACCACAGGCTCCTGGCTCAAAAAATCATACAAAAGCATAGGTGGTCAGCACTTAGACAAAAGCTGGTACTCTCACAAGCCTGACTTAGCTTCCAAGATGAATAGAGTGTTCGAGACTCAGCTCTGCTCAACTTAAAATTTTGAGAGCTCCCACAACACAGCCCTAGATTCCCTTTTCTGATGGTCCAATCTTTTATCGAAAGTTCTTGACAGTCCATTCAAAGAGAATATGAAGAGGAAAAAGCAAACTCACCCTATCTAACATGACAGGGACATGACCCTCGAATTTTACTGTCCGATCACGTGCTCTTTGTTTCCTTTCCCATCGTTTCTTTGATGGAACGATACCAATGCCTTGCTCCTCTCCGGTAGGTAGACGGAGTCTTGCTTGCCACCATTCATCATCACTGGCATTTGTCACGTGTAAAATATCACCATATTGAAAAGCTAATCCTCTGCTTGGAAGACCGTCATCTTTATTCGGATCATAATCAAACAGTGCTCTGCAACAGAAAAATGTATTTGTTATAAGCTACCTAATGGCTACTAAAGGCTGCACAAGTTGCATTTTGCAAGCTTTCTGCGCTCACAGATATGAAAACTAGTTGTAAAAGTTCTAGGATATTCTATGCAGTTACAAGATACTATGAAATGGAGTTGCTTGTAGATTTGAGCAAGTTCAGAGCTTGGTATGGAATCTTTTCTTCAGACCTACTTCTGACTTGATTTTACCCGATTTTTGGCATTTTCACAAAACATTCAGAATACAGACTCAGTATCTGGGGCGTGCAACTGATTGCTTCTTACTAATGCTATTAAGGGAACAGCGCACAATATCCAGAAACTCGGTGCCGCTTCACCTAAATTTGAGGGTTTTTTGATATGATGTTCCTTATCATCTCCTCAGTAAGATGACCTTTTAAATGCTAATTCTGAGAAAATCGGAAGTGAAAAAAGCACTGTTCGGCAGCTTACACGATTATCAAGTCAAAAAATGTAGGTGATTCAGGAGATTCTCATTCCTCATCTCGCGTCTGCTGGGGACTTAAGACGGCATGTCAACTCAGTTTAGAACAAAAGACATCTTCAGCTCAGCGACGGTGCCACTTCTCAATATGATAGCTTGTGTAAAATAATTGCCAAAAAATGCACTTTAAAGCTCAGATTTTTCCAAGATTGACACAGAAATTTCGATCATGAAAGCTTCATGTGCTCAGAAGGTTGTAAGGAACACCAAATCATCCAATCTCGACATTTAGCTGGCGCCGAATTTCTTAGTAGTGCGTGTGATATCTTTTTGACAATGTATCTATTCATGAAGGAATAGTGCTGCAGTGTTTGAAGCCAAAATGAGCGTTGAAAACTTCCAAAGTAAATTGACCAGAGGGGGAGGGTTCAAAAATCAAGAAGTTGCAGTGCTGAATAAAAACTTACAAGCACTAAAGGGATACGCAGGAACGGGATACTAACCTAACATATAAAGATTTCTTCTGAGAAGTCCTTAGAAGTGTTCCAGAACCAACTCTGGACATTTGCTGCTTCAGATCGTGAATTTTTGCTTCAAACTTATTGTAATCCTCAGGTCTATACTGAATAACTAAAGTAACATTCTGGCCAGCACTCTGCAACAAAAAACACAGCATAGTTAACTTCAACTATTATTGATAACTACCCATTTCAGGATTGCAAATTAAATCACCATTGTCAGTCAAGGGACTACCGCCCATTGGACCCCTGATGATCGAACATAAAGCGCCTACGTACCTTCAAGAACTAATCAAAAGGACTGACAAATTATAAAACATAATTATAAAGTACATTCTTAGGTAACTAGATGGGGTTTGTGAGATTTGATAAATAAAATTTCCTGACTTAAATATACATATCCTATAATACATAGATAAATAAGATAGAATATAATAGACTATACACACTAGTTCAGAGACAGAGGCCGCGAGAAAAATTGAATTCTTTGACTAAAGATACAGTGACAAGGAATTTTTACAGGGTTGTAGCATAAAATTTTGTGAAAAAACCAAAAAGCTCACCAAGAAGTAAAAAAAATCATCACTGCGGGGAGAAAAAGCTAATCAGAATCCGACCTATCAAAAGCCGAAAATCGAGTTGACACAGCAGTCGATCAGCAAACGCGGTGTCTCCCTACTGGCTACACCATCAGTGTCCGCCAAAAATATCGTTACAAACGGGTCCTATTTTTGGGATTTCCAAAACGGAGTTCCTTTGATATGTGAGGTTTAAAAAATTAGAAAAAATTCCTGGGAGCTTTGTTCACTCTGTACTTTCAGGAAATAAATTTTGAAAGTACTGAGCCATAGTTTACCAAGACCCTGGGAAAAAGGGGGGAGGGGTTTAAGTCAAATATTTCCAAAGAGTATTGTTTTTTTTGTTTTTGTTTTGTTTCTTTATGGTTTTTTTGTTTTTGTTTTGTTTTTTATGTTTTTTTTTTTTAACAAATAAATTTATTATGATTTTTACATGGTGGAAGCTGTGCTTTACAGAGCACAGCCCAATGCCTTGTTTACATACTAATTTATTGAAGCCTAACTTAAGTTTACATCTACTTTTATTATCATTAAATCCCCCATGTAGTTTCCCTTCATAGAGTTACTTAATGTCTAAATTGGTGCTTGAAGTTCCTCAATCTTCTAGTCTTTTAGTCTACATTGTTCTCATCGGGATCACCGATTTTTTAATTGTTAACTTCCTTGGAGAATTTTAAATTTCTAGGAGCTAAGTTCATTTCGACAGTGTAGGTCGGCAATCACATAACTCAGTTTGTGACGTCGCAGACTTCCTGTCATACTTCATTTGTTAAACGGAAAACTTCTCAACAGCAATTCTTTGAAACTGCCGTGATTTTTCTTCTCTGTGCAAAGAAAGTTCTGCAAAGACTCCAAGGAATGATGTCAATTTGTTCTCCTTTAAAAAAATAACATAGAGGCGGAGATTTTCAGACACCGCAAACGAGATATCGACGGTGTAAGTCGGCAATCACATAACTCGGTTTGCGACGTCGCAGACTTCCTGTCATACTTTATTTTTTAAATGGAAAACTACTCAACGGCAATTCTTTAGAACTGTCATGATTTTTCTTCTCAATTCGAAGAAAATTCTGCAAAAACTTCAAGAAATAATGTCGATTTGTTCTCCTTTATAAAAATGACACAGAGGCGGAGATTTTCAGACACCGCAAACGAGATATCGACGGTGTAAGTCGGCAATCACATGACTCGGTTTGCGACGTCGCAGACTTCCTGTCATACTTTATTTTTTAAATGGAAAACTACTCAACGGCAATTCTTTAAAACTGCCGTGATTTTTCTTTTCAATTCGAAGAAAATTCTGCAAAAACTTCAAGAAATAATGTCAATTTGTTCTCCTTTAAAAAAAGGCCGTACAGGCGGAAATTTTCAGACACCGCAAACGAGTTATGTGATTGCCGACTTTCACCGTCGATATGTGACTGCGGACTTACGCCGTCAATGGACCTCTAGACAAGGTACGAATTTAAGAGATCTGATACATGTTTCTTAACCAGAATTTCACGTAAAAAACGATTCACACAACGAAAATTACTGAAACTAATTCCTAACGAAGATATTAACGTTTTTATTTCACATTGGTTACGAGGAATTTAAACTGCCCGCTCACAAGAAACTCAAAGCTCTACGTGAGTCAAATCGCCCACTACAACGGTTTCAGCAAGCTTCTCAATCGAGCATTGTTCATTTCCCACCTTGTGTTGTTCAAACTATCAGCAATTTGCTATAACTGAGCCAAAGCGTCAAGATTGAGGTTGCCAGATTTTTATATCGCAGAGACTGTCATGATACCGTTTAGCGCGCGATGTGAATCACGTAGATCATTGAGTTTTCATGAGCGGGTGGTTTGAATTCACGCATCAAGAATCATTAAATATCTTCGTAAGGAATTCATTTCGGTAATTTTCGTTGTGTGCATCGTGTTTTACGTAAAATTTTGGTTAAGAAACATGTATTAGAATGCTGAAATTCGTACCTTATCCAGTGGTCCATTTGCTACTTTGAGAAATCGAGTAAAAAAAGGGGATGCCACCTAGGGTGCGTCAAAAAAAATGAAAGTCTGAAATGTTCCGCTCCCCAGGCGGCAATCGATGACGTTTGGTAAAAAAACATGTTTGCCAAAATTTGGTCCAATTTCAATCATTTTAAATGGTGCCAAAGGTCAATTTTGTGATGAAATTATGATATTTTGGTTTAGACCTCGATTTCGTACAACAAACTCGATTTTACGCTGAAATCGTGCGTTTACGAGAAAAATGTCAAAGAACTCGACTTGTAGAGGATGAAATTTTACACTAGGAGGACGTCTTTGTAACCGATAAAAATCAAATTGAACTAGAAAAACTCAACTCGGTATTTATTTTTTTGGTCCTAAGAATTTCCGAGGTCTTACTAAGTAGAGGTTTAAAAGACTCATTTTTCACGAAAATAAGTCGAAAGAGGGTATAAATGAACTGTAGGCAAGTGTTGAGGGTGCAAATGTCATCAGAACTTCCTCAGTTTCAAAAAAAGTTCCAACTATTTTGCACAATCCTCCAAAAAGTGTACGACTCGAGAAGCAGGATCGTGCTATAATAGTAGGGGGAAAGTGCGGTTTGACCGGGAAAAATTGCGTAACAAACTTTCCCTATGTAATCATCATCAGTAGGTCCCCCTGAACAACTTCCTAAAAGTTAAAAATGGCCCGACCCCGGAATATCCCTCAAAAAAGTTAAAATTGAAAATGGCGGCCGTAATAAGAGGGTCCGGGAAATCGGTATTTTAAAATGCTCATTCTGTCTCATCATGTTAGGTATCATTTCCTATGTAATTTTGGTCGTAGATTTCATAAATAAATTCCGCAAGGCCCTCCGGCCAAAGGGGGCGCTCCAAATCAAAGATGGCGGCCAAATGTGAAAGGCAGGAGGTTGCATTTTTTTAAATATTCAACGAAGGAACAAGGAAAGTGAAGTGTCTTTATTTTCATGTATTTATGGCCAAGAAACTTAAATTTGATGTTATAAATGTATTTATAAAGGAAATTAAAGGAAACATACGACTACCGAGAGAAACGTAAGCTCAGAAGAGGCCTTGCGGAATTCATTTATGAAATCTACGACCAAAATTACATAGGAAATGCTACCTTACATGATGAGACAGAATGAGCATTTTAAAATACCGATTTCCCGGACCCTCTTATTACGGCCGCCATTTTCAATTTTAACTTTTTTGAGGGATATTCCGGGGTCGGGCCATTTTTAACTTTTAGGAAGTTGTTCAGGGGGACCTACTGATGACGATTACATAGGGAAAGTTTGTTACGCAATTTTTCCCGGTCAAACCGCACTTTCCCCCTACTATTATAGCACGATCCTGCTTCTCGAGTCGTACACTTTTTGGAGGATTGTGCAAAATAGTTGGAACTTTTTTTGAAACTGAGGAAGTTCTGATGACATTTGCACCCTCAACACTTGCCTACAGTTCATTTATACCCTCTTTCGACTTATTTTCGTGAAAAATGAGTCTTTTAAACCTCTACTTAGTAAGACCTCGGAAATTCTTAGGACCAAAAAAATAAATACCGAGTTGAGTTTTTCTAGTTCAATTTGATTTTTATCGGTTACAAAGACGTCCTCCTAGTGTAAAATTTCATCCTCTACAAGTCGAGTTCTTTGACATTTTTCTCGTAAACGCACGATTTCAGCGTAAAATCGAGTTTGTTGTACGAAATCGAGGTCTAAACCAAAATATCATAATTTCATCACAAAATTGACCTTTGGCACCATTTAAAATGATTGAAATTGGACCAAATTTTGGCAAACATGTTTTTTTACCAAACGTCATCGATTGCCGCCTGGGGAGCGGAACATTTCAGACTTTCATTTTTTTTGACGCACCCTAATGCCACCTAATGCTACCGACCCATCTGAAAATTTTGAATTTTACCTTGAGCGCAGCGGCTGCCTCTTCGTGGGTGGCGCCTTTGAGGTTGACGCCATTGACGCTGAGGATTTGGTCGCCCCGCTTGAGTTCGCCGGAGAGGTCGGCTGGTCCTCCGGCGAGAATGAAGGAGATGAAGATTCCCTCTCCATCCTCCCCGCCGACGATATTGAAGCCCAGGCCAGTGTTACCTCTTGTCAGCGTCACCGTCCGCGGTTCTCTGCAATCAGAAAAAATCAAAGAGGATGAGCTAACTGAGCTAACGCAAGAAAAGAATCTCATACTAGAGCTCCTACATAGGAATTAAAAACAAAATTCAGCCTCTTAGAATCGAACGTGAACAAATTTCAGGTGGGATAAAGGCGGCCCCAGGAAAAGCACGACAATACGTCACCAGGGTGTTTTAGATTTTTTTTTTTCATTTTGGGAAATCCTGATGAAATTCTGACTTTTCCTGATTTTTGAATGCTACATCCTCTGAATTTATAATTTTTCCATCCCCTGATCAAATCCTAAATTTTTCGGAGAAAAAGAGGCGAATGTAACTTCACAAAAGTAGCTCGATTAAAAAATCCGATCGGACGGCCGACTTTATCGAATCCTAATTTTACGACCGATTTTTCCTCAAATCCTGATAGAATCGGGAAAATGGGGAAAATCCTGATGCTAGACACCCTGGCTCACTGTAGGAAAAAAAATGAAAAAGTCACGTCACTGTTTCAAAAGTAGCCTGAGAAGAACGACAGAACGTTTCCGGTATAAATATTTTAACATGAAAAGGCCAAAACATAACGTAACCATCTCGTACATACGTCCGTGAACAATTTTTTTTTATCAAAAGCTAAACATTTTACGCCAATTATTACAAACACAGAAAAACGAAACATATCACGGTTTCATATAAGGTTTAATATAACCAGCAGGATGATTGTTGAAACTGATTAGACAAAGCGGTAGACAAAGAAGACAAAAGGGATATGGAGTGATCCTATTGGTGGAAGCGGGCAGTTGCGATGGACAAATGAGGTAGATACAGACTAACTAACGGCAACCGCGACCCACGAGGAACCCTACAGTTGGTCCATCTCTTTCTTCCTTAGTCTACAGGAACCACCCACTTCAACCAATAGGATCGCTCCCTACTCTCATGTATTTTCTTTGCCTATCAATTTCAACACTGATTGTGAGCCCGCCAGTGCCAGAATCACACGCTGAATGTAGGAGCTGAAGGTGGCGTGAATGTGGAAGTCATCGGTCCGATGCCTGAATTTTGCGCGTGTCGCTCAAAATTCAGCGACGAGGCTCAGCGACCATTAGATAACGTCGGATTATTTGCCTGAACAATTCGAATAGATATGATAGGTACTAAGGATGAAAATAACTCGAATTTGCGAAATTTCAGCCGTTGAGCGATGGCCGTTGACTTCCATACTGCCGTGCTAAGGAAGAACGCCGTATGAACACTTGAGAGTTGCCAAATTTCCCTTGATGAAACATGCATTTTTTACCACATTCATGCATATTTTTCCGGCAATTTTCAGATATTATAGATTAAAATGCCTACAAAATTGTCTGAGGATTTTGGAAAATAATATTCACAATTTTCCCAGTAAATTCAGTTTTAATCTGAGGAAATTTGGCAACGTCTGAAGGCTCATACGGCGTTTTTCCTTAGGACGGCAGCATGTCCAGCAGCCAAATTCAGCGTGTGATTCCGGCATGAGGTGATAGAGCCGGACTTTCACTGGAAAAAAAAAAAAAACACATTGGATCTAGAGTCCAGACTCTTGAAAACATTGACAAGAAAATGGACTCTTGATTCAATCAGATTTAAACTTAAATCAAAAGGAAATCCGCTCGAATTGAGAGGCTTGATTCTTGATTTAAGCTTAAATCTGGTCGAATCGAGAGTATTTTTTCTTGTCGATGTTTCTAAGAGTCTGGTCTCTAGATCCAATGTCGACGGTGAAACTACCAAACCACGTATCTCGGTTTGCAACGTCGCAGACTTCCTGTCATACTTTATTTTTTAAATAGAAAACTATTCAACGTCAAGTCGTGAAAACTTCCGTGATTTTTTATGCGGAGAAAAATCTGTGAAAATTGTAAGGAATGATATTGATTTGATCTCCTCCAAAAAAATAAAATGTGAGTGGAGATTTTTAAACACCGCAAACGAGATACGTGGTCTGGTAGTTTCACCGTCGATGTGTTTTTATTCCAGTGTTTGAGCGAATAGGTGATCTACGTACCCTGAGAGGATTTTCCTTTTGATGCGCATGCGGCGCAGGGTGCAGCAGTTGGCGATGCGGGCCGCCACGGAGGGCGAAGGTGTTTTGGGCGAGCGGGTCATGGTCACCACGTTGTCTTAATCGCACTCGACGATCAGAGCGTCATAACTAAATTCGGGGCTCCGACTCGAGCCGCACGGCACCGCACTCTCTACTGAATCCTCGATGCGATCATGCGTCCAGGTAACTCATGACTCACGGCTCGGCCGCTTCCCGTATGACTTCCTCCTCGCTCGGTCCCGCGGTCGCGTCATCAACGACGTAACTGGAATTCCGACTACTCCGCGTCGTCTGGGTGCAGGGCAGGCTCTCAACACCGATGACAATGAGGCTGGGCGCTCCGAGTCCGAGTCATGGGGGCCGCCTCAAAGTTCACGAGTCGAAACAGAGGCCTCTCAAGTGCGAGGGACGAGGGGCCACGTCACGTGACGGATTTCTGCGATCGATCCGCGCTCACGACGAGCTACGTCCGAGAAAAAAATGCATCCATGCACTCCGATGACGTCGACGTTGACACTGAATTTCTCATCGGTTCACCCGGCTGGATCGAAGAAAAACCTATGTGCACGCCGACGAACGTTCAAAATCGATCGAAACTCTCACCTCGGGTGAAGACGTTGCAGAATGGAGAACTTGCACGCAAATATATTGCTTCGTCTCAAAGTGATTAAAGAGCTGATTTTGAGGTATTTTTCATAACTTTCTTCTGATATGGAAAATAGCATGAAAATTGGTGTAAAAGTGAGAATATGCGCCGCCTAGTGACGTCATAAGGCGGTATTTCCCATTTAAACACATGTATTTTAGCATATTGTTCACATCTCCTCGAATAATTGTTCAACTTGGGAACCAAGGGTATTTTCGTGTTCAGTTCACTCAGTGGTTTCCTTTTAGACACAAAATTCATCGAATTTCGGACACTTGCGAATTCTCTACTCCTGTCATACTTTATTTTTTGACTCAACGTCAATTGAGGGGCTTGGAGGACGAGGCGCATAAATGCAGATTTGAAAAAATTGAGGTATTAATGATTTCAAGTGGACCTAGTCTTAATCCATGTTCTGTGAAAAATTCCCTCCCGAAATTCCAATTTTTTAGCATGAAAAAGTCAGTTTGAACTTCTTTCCGCCATGTGGATTCATGTAATTTCGAAACTCCGAACACGCATTCTCGAAATAGCAACAACTGCACTTCTGCGCCTTGTCCTCCAGGTCCCTAAATCCTTTAAATCCTCCTTGATTTTTCTTCTCTGTGCGGGGAAAATTCTGCGAAAACTTCAAGGGACGATGTTGATGTGTTCTCCTACAAAAAATTAAAAAGGGAGCTGAGATTCCGGAACACCGTAAACGAGATGCGTGATTTGGGAGTTTCACCGTCGAAATGTCTTAAGCAATATCTCCGGGCCGCCCCCAAAAAATCAGCACTATTTCCGGACCTCCCGAAAATTCCGAACTTGTAGACACCCTGGAGTTCAACAACACTCATTTTGTCACTCAACGGGCTTTTCTCCGATTAGACAGATGAGAGGTTTAACATGGAAGAACAAGTTACAGACAAAACAACGCATTACTGATGACTGGGAAGTGCGTGCCGTAACGCGCCAACGCGTATTGAGTGGATTCCCGTCGCGTCGCACAGTGGATTGAGTCAATCAGAGAGGTCAGATATGAAATTTTTCACTAAAACAGCAAATTTTGGTATGCAGACAGTACGTCTACAGAAAAAGGGCTACAAAAAAAAAGGGCTACCTTTTTTAGTCTACAGTCAAAACGTCTACATTAAAATGCCTACTGAAATTATGTCTACAGATAAATATGTCTACGCTATTAAAATGTCTACGGTTTGTTTACCCACTTAGAAAATGTCAAAATATTTATGTTGGCCACTAAAAATATATAAAATATATTTATAAAATAAAAAAATAAATAAAATATATATAAAATACACATGATATTTAGAGGGTCAATTATTCGCGAAATGTGACTCACAATTTTTACGCATCAGCTTCTGCAGCATCCACAGCCTCGTCCTGTCTTTGAGGATACACTTTCAAATGAGATCTTATCAGACGACATAAATACGTACTTTGACATTTTTGGAGTAGGCAGTCAAACCAAAGACATTTTAATACCGCAGACATATTTTTCTAGAGACACTATTTTAATAGGCATTTTCATGTAGACATTTTGACCGTAGACCAAAAAAGGTAGCCTTTTTTTTTGTAGCCCTTTTTCTTTTAGACCTACTGTCCGTAAACCCAAATTTTAATGTTTAATTCGTCAAATTTTGCATTTTAAGGGGTGCTTCTGGTAGGAAATTTCACGAAAAAACCAATGGAGCAACTTTTAGAGCCTCGTAGTTTTGTATAGATAGAGTTATAAGCGTTTAAACTTTCCAAATTTTGTCCGACTTTCCTGTTGCCCCGACCCACTGTGCGTCGTGGAGACCCTGCTCTGGAGGCAGATACCGAGGCAGATTCCCAGGGTCACGAGCATCACTGTCAGGTTTTATCACCTTTGGTGGCCGAACGCGACCGCCACTGTAGGTCAACTCGGCGACGACCGAACGCGTGCTCGCATAGTGAGTGGTTTGTCATGGACATGGCCGCACCACCGTTGCTCTTACCTTCTTATTACATTTCATTCGCTCATTAAGGATAATGAGGATAAGACGGGGTCATGAGTAATTTTCTTTCAGTGCAAAAAGTTCTTGAGCTCAAAAAAAAAAAGAAAACAAGTTCTTTAAATCAAATGGACGTATTTATGCTAAAGGAACTAAAAGCAAGTGGAAAGATGGGGTGTGCTCGTGGAAGCTGGATAAGGAACAATGTATAAGTGGATTTAGTTCCTTTTGAGAAAATGGGAAAGTGGTATTTGACATTAAATTAAAAAGGTACTGAGCGCTAACTCGTGAGCCGTGGACATGTGAC